CCCTTCAACTACCCGGCACATACATATTGTTGCTTGTATGTACGTATGTGCGTATCTTGATCTTACCCCAGCTGCCCGGAACAAAAAGAGAGGCCAATGCGTCCTAATTCCACGTTGTTGAAGTGGTCTGTGTGTGGTCCAAGTTGAGTTATCGCACCTACAAACGACTACACTTCACGATGGAGCTGGAGGTTTATTACTAGCTTATCAGACCACTTTTCTCTTCCCTTTTCTTGTCACTATTTCAAATAAGCGCAGCCATATCCCAATCGTGAGACTCGAATTGACTTGGTGGCGCTTCACTCAGACCCAAACCCTTGGGTTCAGATCTAGACAAGCGAGACTGTAAGGAAAGGAAAGGATGGCGGATTGACGGGGCGTCGTTCACCACCGAGTCACATTCCTCTGCATCTCGTCACCGACCGTTTCTTTTTCTCTGTTTTCGGTTGTGCCTTATTATTCTCTATGTCGCGATGGCTTCGTCTAGAGGCCGATGGCGTTCGGAGGACAGCCACAGACCCCAACACCTCTGAGATACAGTACAGTAGTTGTTTGACTGGCTAAAACTACTAATCATTGCCAGCATAACAATACCTCAAGAACGAGGTCTTGGCGATCCATAATATCAAACCACGGGTTCAAATCTGTCCGTTCTATGGATAGCAGCACTATCCACAGCGGCCATCCCGCAATAGACTCATCGAGTCCTATCGGTTAATATGCAGTGACTGATGGGCCAACAAGGACCTCCCATTTCGTGCATATGCATTCCGGGCTTCATGGACATCCCTCTCCCTCGCATACAATGCAGATGCGTGTGGTGATAATCGTCAATCACCGACCTCCTTCACCTGACGCTATCAGCCAGCCTCGAAGCGACAGCCCATCAGATCAACCGTTTCATCCCTTGTCTTTGTTCATTGTCCGTCAGTCCTTGAAGATCAAACTGCCATCTGTCTCAGTCCATGCGAATAGTCCCCAGACTCTAGGCCTGAAGGAGAAGCACTAGAGCACCCCCTGCACAACATCTCTCCTGTGAGTGCTGCGAGATGCAACCACCAACCAGGCCCTTCACTGATCCCGTCGGTCGGCAGACGCCACTAGCTTGGCTCGGGAGCAGCCCGTTTGAGGAATGGGGAATGCACAGGCACAGGTAAGAAAAGGGAAGGGTGGGCATCACCGTCAATGGCTCACGCGAGGGAGACTTTTTATCCTTACAGAGCAACACCTGATCTGATGATTACGGCCCTTCCTATGTACATCGAACCTTGCCCTGACAGAGGATGAAAGACTGATCAATAAACCCATTCGGGCTAATATCCATGAGAGCTATCAACTGAAGCCACTCGCAAAAGAAAGGCATCGATGGTCAACTCTGCATACCAACCAAGAGGCCCCCTGCACTAAAAGCAAACGCCCCCCCTTGACCTTCAAGATCCCCATCGAGCTCGACCAGGATCTTCGTCCCCATTCCCATTTTTAGCCTTTCCTCACCTCACCAAGACTCACCAAGACTCACCAAGACTCACTCACAGGCTCACAGCTCACAGCAGCCCTACAATACGTATATGTACCTATGTACGTGCATACATACAATTGTCGGCCCGCCGTAGATTCTTCAGCCAAGTCGAGATTGAGTTAGCTTGGTCGATTCGTCTCTCCTGCCATGAGGGCATCGAGGATCGGATGTGCAGTGATCATCTGAGTGTATCGCGAGATCTGGTGGTCTGATTGAGTTTATTTTCCCTCCCAAGTGACGAGGTCTCTAGTCTAGCATGACCGTTTGCATTCACTTGTTCCTGAAAGTCATGTCACTGATTCATCTACTCATCTCATCGGACGTCGACATGAGAAAAAACTCTTTCTCACCGCTGTTGATCTTGGTTGGAGCCATGGAATCTGTTGCAACCACTGACAGTTCACAGGGAGTCATCCATCCATCCATCCTCTCACGATAGTCACCCACAGCTGTCCACTGTCCACTCACTAACTGGTAACTATCAAGCCCCTAACCCCTGGCCCCTGAGGTGAGGTGACCCCTGAGCCATCCATTCTCATTCATGGACAAGCAAACACACTGAAGCCCTAAGATTCTCTCATATCTGGCCCAGCTGATTGGTCAGCCCCGCATATGTATCCCTGACGCCTGCATGTCAAAAACGCGTGGCTCTGACTCGCTGCGAAAGAGTTTTTGCTCCGTGTACTCTATAGATGTGGCTGAGGTCGGTTTACATACGCAGATACGTACAGATGTATGCAGATACGTACAGATGTACGCAGAGTGACTGTGGCTCATGCTCCGGATGTAGACTGTGGCGACGCCGACACGTAGGTATGTACGAGACCGGCCGGCCGACCGACCGCTTTCGGGGCCTGCAGCTCCCCGTCTTGTCTTTTCTTCATCCTCCCTGCAGTACAAGGTCAAACCGTATTATCGTTTGGCTGGTTTCGGTTTATGCAGCTATTCGCGGTATGTTTGGTGGTTGATTCTATTAGTGTTTGTTCGTGCATACTAACTGTAGACTCACCCAATATCCATCTCGACCTTATCTCACCTTGTCTTGTCCTGGAAAACCTGGTCTTCATGACGGTCATCATCATTTGATCTCAAGGCCCCAACAAACTCGTAAACTCTCAAGGATCAGTCAGCCACTATCTCGGCCCTTTCATGCCCTATTCCCAAGGTCTCTTCTAGTAAAAGTGGCTGCTGAGGGGTCAATGCCATCTCATGACCTGGTCTGGGCCACTTTGTCCGCGTGGTTGGGCTAGTTTTAGTCTACGGTCTACCTAGGTAGTCTGTCTAGCCTCCCTCATGCTCATGCCCAACATCAACATCAACACCAACACCATGGCCATTACTTGTGACGATGCGGGGAAGATAGACTAGTAGGACTGAGCTAAACTAAAAGTTATGTACTACTACTACTGCCTTGAATCCATCCGTGATCGGGTCCATCAAGATGACTCCTCATATTGCGGTGAAGACAAGGTCCAACTCGTATTCAATGCATTGGATGCTTGCTGGATCTACACTTAGCCGATCAGTTATCCAACCACGCCAGACCAGACCAAATAATAAATCAAGCATAATAATGATAATGATAATAACGATTGTGTGTCAATGTTCATCCTCTTTGAGATGCCTCTTCCGTGGTCGCATTCGAAGCTTTCCTCGCCCTCGCTCTCGCCCTCACCATGGCCCTCTTCGGCCCCGGTCGATCGGTCGGTCCGGGCGAATCTCGAACGGAGCGGAGTTCCGGGCTGCCTCTGCCTCTGCCTCTGCCTCGGCTCAACCCGCGGGATTGGCGCTTCCCGCTGTTAAAACGTTTGACCCCCTGGTCCAGCTGCACTGCCGCTGGCGATCGCCTGAATATAGGGTGAGAGCTATCATAAGCCAGATCTAGTATCTCAGCAGTGTAGGGATCCAAGCTTGGTGCATTACGACATAGCTCAATGAGGCTTTTTAAGAGTCACGATCTTTTTATTGCTGAATTAACTAGCGAACTTGGCGTTGGCCCTCGATTCCAAGGCCATTATCAATGCATTGGCTGTAGAGTCTCTGTTCTCTTGGCTGCCTCCCATACCTTGCCCATCTGATGCCAACAACAAAACAACTCCCAGCGTAAACAACATTAACAGGCAGTATTCGAATGCAACATAGCCACAATAAATATCGGGTGTCGTTTCATATATTTCGATACATACTTCAATGCAGCTGAAACACGATACTCCAACATTGGATCTATCCTCCGTCGCTGCTCAGGCGCTTACATACACTGTAAGCGCCCGTTTCACTACGCTATTCTTGTCAAGCGCCTAATCACCCAGACATGCCATGGAGCTTACATGATCCTGCACAAGTAAACAAGCTACCAGAATAGGGATTACATACATATCGTATGTAGTACCGGCGGTTCTTTAATTTGACATGCCGGACGAACTACGGGCGTCTATCTGTCATGTTACGCTATGCTTCTATATTGAATAGACGCCCGTAGAGTTTCATCTAGATCGTGGCCCTTTCATTTCTTCCGTGGCAGTGCAAGAATGCCAAGATGATCCAGACCAATAAATTAATCAGAGACATACAATGCCATTGTTATCGTGGTCTATTGTAATGGCCGGCCTATCGTCCCGAGTCGTCGGTAAATATCCTCAAACTCTTCCGAGGAATGGAATGGGCTGTGTCACGATGGGCTACCAAATTGGCCTTTGTAAATCCTTCCGGCAGAAAACTTCCCTCGTCTCTTATCTCACGGCCAAATGACGGTTGTTCGTCTTCTGGTCTGAGTCCAACAAGTACATGACCCGAGAGGTCTCACAACATGGTCCCAACATTGGTCACGATGGCATACACGGTCAGCCATGGTTGTTATTTATCAATTATTCTGTCTTGATGTGCATCTCCGGATATCAAACCGCACGCTGAGCCATATGTCTACAAAGCACATCCCAAAACCAAACAAACCATCGCGAATAACAAGCCTGCCACCCTTGCTCAAAGAGACCCTATTTTATCATGTTGTTTTCCCGTTCGCCTTCCAAACGCCTGAAAGCCAGGCTGTTGCTAACCCGTTGCTTTTCACCTGCTCTGCTCTGCCACGTCAACTTCATCCCGCTCGTTGTCTCTCGTGATTTGGTCAAGCCTCCAACGGCTTTCAACCCAACGGCCAAGTTTGCCACGCATATTGTTGGTCATCATGAACATTACTGGTGAGCCTCGTGAGTGGCCAATCAATAAATGAGGTCAAGCTAGGCCAGGCGAGTCAATGTCTGTTTTGTTTGTTTGTCGCCCAAGTGGACGGACAATCACTGCCGTGATGTTGCCTGGGCATTGCTGCTGTTGCCATATCAATGTCATACTTCTCCTTGGCCTAGGAGAAGCGCCAACAGTATCTCAGAAAGAGAGAATACCTTGGTCCCGCTCGTCATTCGGCGGTGGAGTTTTAGTGCCTCTGCATCTGCATCTGCATCATCTGGTATGGAGCTCCATATCCCATCTAGTGATAGTAGCCATTTGCCTGAGCGGATGCTTGCTCTTGTGCTAGGAGAGGCTCGAAGTATGGGTGATTGTAGGCAGCCTTGGCTGAAATACGCCCAGCAGGGTCGTACACCAACAGCATCTCAAGCAATTCAAGTCCGTGGGCATCGAGGTCCTTGCAAAGGTCCTTGCTGTAGTCGCGCTGCCACTTGGGGAAGGATGCCTTGAAGTCAGGGTAGGAAGTGACGCCAGGCCAGTTCTCTTCAGTGGGGGTGCCGAGGATGCTATTTGATTGTCAGCGAGAGGAAACTCGAAGCTCTATACAATCTTGGTACTTACCGGAAGATCTTGAAGATCTCATCGATTTCAGAGTCACCGGGGAAGAGGGGCTTTCTTGTACACATTTCGGCAAAGATACAGCCAACGGACCACATATCGACACCAGTCGAGTATTGGCGCCCTCCAAGGAGAATTTCAGGGGCTCGGTACCACAGAGTAACGACTTCGTGGGTGTAGGTGCGCAGAGGCACGCCAAAGGCACGGGCAAGACCGAAGTCAGCGAGCTTGAGGTTACCCTCCTTGTCGATCAGGAGGTTCTGGGGCTTGAGATCGCGGTGGAGAACACGGTGGGAGTGGCAGTACTTGATACCGTCACAAAGCTGGAACATGAACTTTCGAACAACCATGTCGCCCAGGCCAAGATGCTGCAAGTGAGGGGATGAACCCTCGGGCAGGGCCTTTCCTCGACCGCCATCGCTCACGGGGAGAGACTCCATGTACTTCTTGAGATCGAGGTCGAGAAACTCAAAGACGAGGTACAGCTTATGACCATCGGCATGGACGATGTTGAACAGACGAACAATGTTGGGGTCTCGCATCTCCTTGAGGAGGGAGATTTCGCGGATGGCGGTACTGGGGACACCTTCATCTTCAGCTTCGAGGCGGATCTTCTTCAGGGCGACAATTCGACCGCCATTGGCAAGGTCTCGAGCTTTGTAGACAACACCGTAGGTACCTGGAAAGTGTCAGCGTTGGGTTTTCGGGAGGGCGAAGCCGGTGGCGTGAAGATTACAGGGCAAGCATCACAAGGCTTGCCTGTCTGTACAGTAAGTACACGTACCTTCGCCAATCTTTTCCAGCTTTTGGTAGTTCTCCATGGTCGGTGATATGTCCCTGTACCAGTTTTGCGAAGAAGGAGAGGCAGATCGAAAGTAGGATTGAAAGAAAGGATGAAACGCGCGAGTCGCTTCTAGAGGAATTAAGCGAGAGACACTGCGTCGGCGGCGTTGACGGTGCTAGCTGAAGGTTCAAGCTCGAGATGCGGTGGGACAGATCAGAGTAAGGCAAGCAAGGTACGACAAGGATCGGTGTGAGTGTGAGTGTGAGTATGAGTGTGTGTGGGCGTGTCTCGTTTCGTTATGCGATCGTTATGAGATTGATAGATAGATGCGTGGAACAAGTCCAGGCTGGAGTTGCTCCGACAGCAGAGGAAATGTCTTATCTTCTCGTCCTTTTCCTTGGTCTCCTTGCTCGTCGGTGACCTTTTAGAAGAGAGGCTCTACCGGTCGATGGTGGGGGAGGGAGAGAAGAGAGCAAGGTGGGGGACGTAGTTAGACGAAGAAAAAGGGTCCAGCCTGCTACGAACTCCTAGTAAACTCAAGCAAGGTGACTGTGAACCAACCTACTAAGCTAGGTACCTGCACCTGGAAATGAACAGCCAGGTACAGCAAAAGATTCAACGCCAGCAATGCAAGGTATTTTTGAATGGCGTATTGAAGAATTATCGTATTCTTGATAGTGAGAATCGCCAAAAGAATGGTGATGCTGATGGCGGCGTCGTTGCTGGGATTTGGGTTTGTGGCGGGCGTTGCGAAAGTCCCTGAGATGATGAGATCTCTCTCGCGATGGACGATGAAATGAAATTACCCTGTCTTGTGTTTACTTTGGACAAGAAGGGACTGGACTTGTTTAGTTTGGTAATAGTTTGGCGCGTCAAACAATGTATGGAACCTAGTGCCTAGTACCTTGCCTTACTCACATATCATTCAGTGCAGTGGCAGCACAGCGCGATTCTTATGGGCAACTCAGGTCACTAAAAACCAGGAACCTTCAGAGGCCCGATACCCCATGTAACAGCCACAGCACAACGCCAGCTGGAGTCATCCGATAGCGCATCCCTTGGGACTAGCTCGATTGCTCAAGTTTGACTTCTGATCAGCCATTGGTGAGTGATTCACGAGCTCAATTACATCCATTCATGGTTGTCTCGGGGAGGCGGGCAATTTGAGGCTGACTGACTGACTGATGAAATACTCTACGCGTCTTGGTCGCGTTCCAATCTCTTTGTCTCTGTCTTTTCTTTGTCTTTGTCTTTGAACACTCCCGAGACAGGTCCAGAGACAAAGAGTGACGTTGTTCGGAATGGCCATAGGTAAGGAGATATTAATTACGGAGCATAACTCTCACTCGCAGTGAGGAATTCCGCTAAGTCATAGATATATTGATTGCAGAAGTCCTGACTCAAGTTGACTTAGTTCTCACCTTAGTTCCCAGTCTTATAAAAGTCAAAGTCTCGGATATTATATTCACCCAGCAACAAGTAATAGGTTACACCCCCTCAAAAAAAAAAAAAAAAAAAAAGTCTTCAGTTGAACAGCATATGAATATACTTGTCATAGAGGAAACACAACTCTCTCTATATGAAATTGCTTCAACATCATCTACAGCAGACGTACGTACGTACGAGAAGCAAAAAGATCAATTCGACGCAGGCCTGATTCGAACAGACGCCTCCGAAGAGAATAGATTTCTAGTCTATCGCATTAGACCACTCTGCCACTGCGCCTTAGCGAATTGATAAAGGTCAAGAAACGATTGGCGATTATACAGCTGCGCCAGACAGAGATAAGCGAGACCAGAGGCATAAGAAGCAGTACTCATGGACGACGGTTGACGTATATGATACAATTCGTAACTAGATATGGATTTTCACTCATGCGAAAGCCATGTCTGAGGTTGATTCAAGCTCAAAATCACTGTGTATGAATATCCAGTTGCTGAGCCAATTGGCTTGCATCATAGTTATGTATTCATTGATTTGCTGTATCAAAAACTTACCATCAAGCACGGTGGCTCCAAATGGCACTGCAGCCGCGAAATCTAAGGCAGGTATATCTTTATTGTTTGGTTATGGTCATTTGATCATTGTCAGTTTATAACAGCCCGCCCGATACTAGAGGGTAAGAGAAATGGCCAGGAGAGCCATGACAAGGTGTGAATCACTTGTCAACAGCTGATGAGCCTAATTACTCCTTTCCTCCCGTCAGGAATCTGACAATCTACAGAACCTAAGCCTATGCTGCATAAGCTCGGCAAAGTAGGGACCAATATTGATTTCCCATCGATAATAAAGTACAAAGACGTAGCTCGGGCGTCTCCAGGGTGAGGGTTTCGTCTTGGATTAAACATATTAGAATCTCAATGATATCGGAAAATATGCATCCAAGTGTGGTAAGACGGTTCTATTCGAAAGACGATAAGATATGAGCCTGTGTTTCGATGCCATCCATATACAGCCGTAGCTCTTGGTGCATACTTATGACAACCAGCAACTACTGTTGTTGTGAACTTGAGCGGACGACATCAACCGTTGTTCATCGAAGATACCGGCGAAGAAGTGATTCAATATAGGCCTACGATGCAATGATGTAGAGGGAATGATAATGACACGTTGAACACGAGATTCCCCAACCTCGCAAACATAAGTGCCCAGCCTATCTAGACTTGGAGTTTGCTATATCTCTGGAGCAACCCGAAGTATGGAGCATAGCAACACTCACCTTCTGCCATCAATATCCATCCACCAAAGCAGAAACTTGAACGATGTGGCCCAAGAATATCGATCTTGCGAATTACCCTTGATTTCACTTTCAGGGCACCGTGTCTTGCCGACCTATAATCCTCTAGCAAACGTAGATGCACATCACGAAGTCTCCTTTCTCCTCAGGTCTAAGATTCTTGCCAAATTTAACGTCCCCTTAGCTCCCCAACCTGCTGGCCCAGCATCTACATCAGGTCGAAGATTCATATACCACGTCCAAGCTCGTTTATCCAACTCATCACGGCTCAGAATACCAGCCCAACTGGCAAATAACAAGCGTAGTGCACCCAGCAAACGGCCCAGATTCTCTTGCTTCTCCTCGTTGGCTGCTGTGACAGTCTTCTTTCCGCTGTCCTCAGCTGGCGCGAAAGCTCGAAGGATGTAATTTCGCGCACCCTCTGGTCGATGGATGGGCATGCCAACCGTCGATGTTGAAGGACTCTTGTCTTCAAGATTCAGAGCCCAAACTGGCTCGCCGTTCAAACTTGATGTACGCTTTTGAGACGACAAGGCGTCGTTGAGACATTCTTTCATGAGACGCCAGCGATCCGGCCCAAGCATGATGCCGCCATACCATCTCGTAAGCACAACCAACGTATTGCTGATATCGAGATCGCGTAGTTGTTGGAGCAAGAAGCTTCCGCAACCAGATTCACCATCGTCAAACGATGCTTCTTGCTTCAGGGGCGAATTACCAAAACTAGTTCGGATCGCCCAAGCATTGTGAGTTGCGGTCTCCAGCTCCGGCTTCTCGGCCATTAATGATTTGAAAACCGCCGGACGCGTCGCAGGTGATGTTATAGCGATAGCATGAGCTATAAATACCGACCCTCTTGATGTCAACTTCTGACTTGCAGTCCAGCCTCTTGGATTTGGTTGGCTCCCCTGAAGGGTCCCCGATGAAGCGTTGGATGATGCTGGTTGAGAAGATCCTGACCAAGTGTAGCCGCTTCTCTTCAAAACCGGAATAGGTCGGTTCATAATAGTGATCTTTGGTTGACCTTCAGGGGCTTTCTCCTCGCCTCCTGGGGGCGCCTTTTCGATACCTATGCTGATGGCTTTTGTTCGTGAGTTGGCACTCACCACTGCTTGTGCTAGACTCAGTCGGCTACTCAGGGGCTGTTCTGGCATTGTGTACCTCAACAGCTCAACAGCAAAGGCCAAAAACAAGGGCGCTCTGTTTGTTAGAATGGTGGTATTTCGAATGATGTTTTCATCCTCCTCCAGTGGCAGCTCGAGAGAAGCCTCGAGATCGTCCCCGGACATGGAGCCATAATCTAGATCTCGTCTATGTGTCTCCAGTTTTGATTTCTTTACTTCAGCGGGAGCCGCGCCATCGTCTGCTCCACGCTTCGTTCCTGATTTCTTCTCATGGTTCTTGCATGCTGTATGAAGACTCTTTGCTGCCTTTGCATCGCCACTGAGCGCTTCCTCAACTGTGGCCAAGGGCGCATCTGCGATTTGTGCTATACTATTGCAGACGCGTTAGTATCAGGATATTAGTTGGCTACACAATTCATATGTACCTTCGCAGATTCTTTGATTGTAGAGCCTTCACCTGTCCCATTGCTGCCATCATGGACATTTTACGCGCCGTGAGGAGGCGTATAAGTTCCTGGAGGTCGTTTTGCGTCGCCATATCATTTAAGGGGTATCAGAGGCGAATGGGAAACAAAGGAAAGTTCTGTGATTTGTGATATTATGGTGCTTGTCTTGAATATTCAAGTATCGAGACAATGTTGTTGTAAGTCGTAAGTCCTCCTTCACGAGGCCGTTAACACTCCGCAATAAGATGAATGAGTGAGTGAGTGCCTGGCCTGGCCTGGCCTGGCGAGATCGGACCCACTAACTTAGCCCAACCTTTGGATCCGCCTCGCTCCACGAAACCCTTGTCTTAGCTTTAGGTCTTTTCATCTGCTTTCCACATGTAAAATCAGACAATTCAGATTCCCTCAGGACACCAATAACCGCTTCAATTCCATGGAACATTCGTCATTATGATCTCTCCGACTCGAGGCCTCGTCATGAGAGCCTGTCGTGTCCAGTGCCGTTTCGCGAGCTCTACTCCTCGAACTCCCCGCCCTAATATAAAAACACCAACGTCTCGCCCTCCACCCAAGATCTCAAAAACTTACAAGCCGTAACGACTCCTCAATACATGCGATACCAGATCGATCATACTGATACAGCACGCCCAGAAAGCCTCAGCCTCCGCCTCCTCCACCTCCCTCAAATCTGTCGACCTCGGCAACCCCTGCACAAGCCGAAACCCTCCGCGATCTCTGGGCATTGACATGGCTCCCTCTGACCGGCGCAGCCCTTCTCGCCGGTGCCCTCGGCTTCTACATCTTCGGAACAGCTGCCGCATCATTTAAAGCGACGCCCTGCAGCTGCACCGGCGAACATTCCACACCGACCGGCCGACCGCCGGCTCTCGATGGCGACAATGCAGAGCAGTTCGACAAGGAGCTGGCTCTTCCTGAGTGGTGGATGGGTATCACGAAGCTACGGAAGCGCATAGCGGAGCGCGCAAACGGACATGTGCTGGAGTTAGCAATGGGCACAGGGCGAAACTTGGAGTACTTCAACTGGGAGCCATTGACCCTGCGTGCGGAGGGTAAGGCTGGTGGTGCCAGACTACCAAAGGGCGTGGTATCGTTTACCGGTCTCGATATCTCGGTTGATATGATGGATGTTGCTCGAAAGCGACTCGTCAAGACTGTTCCGCCCATGGAGAACTCTGCTCCCATCGTCCGCGCATCTACCATGGCCGATCACACCGGAGGCCAACTCTCGTATCTCGATTCCCAGCTCCGATTAATTCACTCCGACGCTCACCACCCGATTCCCGGTCCCGCGACTCCCACGACGACGAAATACGATACAGTTATACAGACCTTCGGTTTATGTTCAGTGTCAGACCCTGTCGCTGTAGTCAATAATTTGGCCAAGGTTGTAAAGCCAGGGTCAGGCCGTATCATTCTGCTCGAACACGGCAAGGGTTGGTACGGTATTGTCAACGGACTTCTCGATAAGAATGCCGGTAAACATTTCGAAAAGTATGGATGTTGGTGGAATCGCGACATCGAGGGCTTAGTCGAAGAGGCCGTCGCTAAAACACCAGGCCTTGAAATCGTCAAGGTCGAGCGGCCCAACATAATGCAAATGGGCACGTTGGTTTGGGTCGAGTTGAAGGTCAACGACAAACCCTCATGACGACTCAACACATGACATAATGCAAATGATTGATATGAAAGGAATGAGATGGGTTGTAGAATATAGGGAGACGTATGTACAATATTCAAAAAGTCGAAGCACTATGAGCGGCATTGCATTTTTAGATCCCCAGCTTCCGCATCCTTTTTAACGCCAAATGATCAAAACCATGGGATGCTATGGTCCCTTTTCCAGGTATTCCAATCCCAGTCCGAACCAAAATCAAACCAAAACACCAAACTTGTCTAAATATACAGGTACTTCCACAGGCGCCCCTCCATGCAATTAGTATATAAGTATGTCGTATATCCGTCGTCGCAGACATGACGGAATAAAATCATCTCAATCGTCTCCACATGACCCCTTGCGCCTGTCCAAAGAAGTCGCGATTGCTTAGCACGTATCGAGTAAGCAATCAAGCTCATCAATTTCGATGCTCTCAGCGCCGCGGTCCCATTCCATGAGCTTGCTAAACTTTAGCCAGCTCTCACCATCGTCCTCTTTTCGCAGACTAGATGCCGTGTTTGACATGGAGCTAGGCTTCACCGCGGGGCTGGTAAGGAGGGCATTTGAGGTGAAGATGCGATGGTCGCCGAACCAGAAATCGTCGCGGTACCCATACTCTGAAGTGTGGGTGGTGCGATCGGCGGACTCAGCAACAGGGGTGTCCTCGGCGAACTTGCGTTTCTGCAAGAAGTCGGCCGTTTGTGTAAACTCCCGCTCATCTTTTTCCAGAGGCGGTGAGTTGTGACGGCTGTTGCGACGGTTTGGCACGTAACGGTGATGAGAGGGAAGAGAGCCGATGGGAGTCAGAGGCATGATAACATCGTCGTCACCTTCCTCGAATCCATGGTCAGAAAGGTCAACCTCGGGCGATGGGCTGAGCTCCCGCCGGCGAGCATCGTCATCGGAGCCGGAATCATCCGTCAGAGACACCGAAGGAGTTTCGAGGGCGGCATGAGCAGACACTGTGGAGTTGGGTTCGGGAATGGGCTGACGAGGGCAGGTGGTGAGGAAATAATAGATCCTTCGAGGGTGGACGCTCTCAAGTTCCTTGGCGATAGGGCATGGTTTTGTGTCACTCCAGCATTGTCGCTTAGCATATGAGGCCAGCCTTGAAGAGATGATTGCGCAAGGGTTGGCAGAACTGGGATTGGAATGTTAGCGCACGGAGCTGAGGGGTTGGAGGGGATAGCCGGTGGCTCAAACTTACTGTTGAACGGAGGTAAGACGTTGTGCCAGAACGGTAGCAAGCTCCTTGACGAGGTGAGGGCGGTTTCCAGTTGACTGTAATTGAACAATAACTGCCTCGACAATGTCGTCGTTGATCGTCTTGAAGTCAATGGCGGACTGGTTTGTATCAAGGTCGAGGCTTGAGCCTGGTGTAGGTGAAGGAGGAGGTGTCTGCTCAATGGCAATGTCGTCGTCGGAATGCGATCGCTTCTGTCGCTTATTGGGATGCGCTTCGGGGGCCTCGGAGCCAGACGAGGACGGTGACAAGGCGGATGAAGCAGCACTTGATGAAGACGAAGAAGACGATCTTGAAGCGTTCTTGGAAGCAGCAGCAGCAGCAGCTCGAGCAGCATGTGTCATTGGGACGTGAATCCCAAGACTGGGTAAAGAAAGCGACTTTCGGCGCGTGTTGTAAGGCATGGCGATTGTGTTTAAGCGAGACGAGGGATGATAATGGACAAGAGTCGAGCTGTCTACAAGATGATGGACTGTCGACTTGGAAGAAAGGTCAAGGTCACCAGAACTTCGCAGAGCAATTGTACGTAGTAACCTCAAGTGTTGAAACAGATCCAAGAGATCTATAAGGGTCTACTGTATTGATTGATCTAGCGAGGGCACGGCAACAGACAAACTGGTGATGCAGTTTATGGTCCTTAAGGTATGGGAAGATGACGGATGGATAGATGGATAGATGAAGGAAGAGGAGGGAGAGATAGATAGTTGAAGGGGGTGGTGGGAGTGTTTGGCTTGTTATTGAGACGAGTGGGTTTACTTAGATTTAGACTGGAGAGTTGAAGCCGAGGGTGGAGGCGGTCTACGGATGTTGACGACACAGACAGAGCAGGAAGGAGCAAAGACAACGGGACGCAGGCAGGCAGGCAGGAGCAAGGGAGCAACGATGGCAACCACGAGGAAGGGGATTAGTAGATGAGGGGGGGCAAAAGGTGGGCGAAGAGGGACTGCAGGTGCAGGTGCAGGTGGTGCTGGGGAAGGCACCGCACCTCAGAAACGGGGAGCTAGCTCAGAAGGGACTTTTCAATGATTCAATTCTTGTAAGCTGATAGGTCCGGAGGCAAGATGCTTGTCTCCATCGACTGACTTCACTTACAAAAGAAGGAGCGATTATCCTTAGGATGACGGGAAAGAATGGCGCTTGGTGTTGGGTCTGCCACACTTTTTTTTTTTTTTTCGCAGACGCAGCGGAAAGAGCACGAGAGCTTGAACTTTTTTTTTCTTTTTTTCTCGTTTCAGCCAAACTCGATTGGTCAAGACTGGCGTGCATGGCTGCCGAGAAGTGGGTCGCGCTAAAGATCGGTGGGTCAAGCAACTATGGGTATCTGGGAGTATCCTTGTAATTCATGTCTCCAGCCGCAAGACCCAAATGTGAAAAACGACCGACCCCAACTGACAACACTTTTTTTTTCCTCATTGCTTTTGCTCGGGTGGTATTGGGATTCTGGATGTGAGGGAGGGGTTCTGTAAGCATAAATTGTTGGCTGGTATGGAACTGGAGAGAATGATGACTCTTCAACAGGCAGCAAGCAGCCATTTCAGCCTTTTGTACCAATAACCAACGATTGCACATGCTGGCTGTACTGTATGTACTTAGTATCGATGATGTCCTACACCAAGAGGCAACGGAACTTACGCAACCAAGCAGGCAAAGAGCATTGGCTCGGAGACCTTAATCATCGAACTTACTCTGTAGAGTTTAGCCATCTTGACTCGTCAACGTCTTCTGTTTCTTTTCTGTTTTTGGTCTAGCTGCATTGCGGCGACTGTAATTGGGCCACTGGGACAGCCTCTCACTAATAGCCTCGCCTCGTTGATGATGGAATGATGGACTCTTGTTTTTCCGCCTCATCCGCGGTTTTTTTGGGACCCGGGCCACTTCGGGTCGATGTTTGTTAGTTGGTTTAGTGCGTTCTCGGAGGACCCTGAAATCTTTTTTTGGGGAACGCCCGAGAATGACCGTGGATTTGAGCTCAGGTATCGACAGGCATTGGATTGCATTGGATGGCTAATACCTTGAACTGCGTGTCAAGATATACCCTGGACCGCGACCTTTTTTTTCCCCTACAGATCACACCGCATCTGCAACTGCATCAGACTGCATCAGGACTGCATCAAGACTGCACCAAGACTGCATACATGTTTGCTCCGTGCAACCATATTCTTACACCGCATTCTCTCTCGACACGCTTATGCTGTACGAGACAATCAATCAATGAATAACAAGCGTTAAATAATCGGAAAAGAGGCCCGGTGTAATTTTTAATCTCGTCCTCAGTACTGTACATACAGAATATGTAGCTACAGTGACTGAGTGAGCAGGTTACGTACCCATATTGAAGTCATTGGAGATGACGAGTGGGCCGAATCATCAAAGAGTCTCCCCAAGACCGTGGCGAGGCCCTCTTTTGAATCTCGAACCCCTGGTCTGGCTCCTTCAGTCGAGTCCATTCACCCGTCGCCCATGGCAATTCAACAAGTGACCTATTTCCTAAAATTGACGGTAATAACTATGCGAGGCCGAGTCCACGGCTAGCAAGCAAACGATGTGTAAGTTACATGACACTACACTCTTCAATAAGGTACATACATATGTACAGTATTGGACTGGGCAGCCAATAGCGACATTTCTATTTCATCATCTCTCTTTTGCTCATGATACATGCAGTGGGTTTCACTCCGCTGTCCCCGGCCGAGGCTTTCTTTCTCAGAGTCTCGTCTTTTTGTAGGTGATTAAGAACAGAAAATGTTACGCAGCAATACGAAGTCCGAATTTTGCTTTATTTGTCGCAATACCATGTTCATCATTGATCTTGATTACCGACATTCGATTGCGATATCCTGCCCTTGCAAATGGAACTTTGACCACCTCACCTCACCTCGCTCAACCTAATGTCTCTCAGCCTACCGAGTACTGAACCCCCTGAACTAGATCTGGTCAGATCCCACCACCAACCTCCATCCAATTCTCTTACACGACTTACAGATCTTCCATTTATTATCCACCACTGACAGTTCCGGCACCTCGGCGTGCAGATGCTGCGTCATTATTCGAGTGCACGAATCGCCGTCTGATGATCCAACCTTTTGAGGATCACCATGTGGATTTACCCTACACTGACCTGATGCCTGACTGAAGAGCAGAGAACGGCGGCGGTTGAATGTCACTTCAGAGCTGCATGCCACGAGGTGGATCATCCAATGATGCATCTCTAGCTCTGCCCCTTGCGGCGCCAGCTGCGACAAGCGTCTGCCGCTAACATGGATGCTCTCCACTTACGCCTAGACCTTGCCTTGCCCAAGCTTCTTCTTGTCTTGATCACAGCCGTGACCGGGTTAATTCCCTGTTCAACATCGTTCGATGGGTTTGCTTTTGCTGACCTGTGTTGATGCAATTGCCGGTCACATTGAGCTGTAAGTCAAGTCTGTCACTACATACATAACGCTGTCTCTCAAAGCTAGAATCTGTCTCTATTCCTTGGTGTACCCTGCTCATGTCCTCTCCGCCATGAAGTCATGGCAAGACTTAGGCTGTAGATCGCTCGATAACCAGCCTACGAAAAGCCTCCCTCTCTCATTTCCTTGCAAGTCCCGTCGTTCGTCCAACTCGTCGTGTCTTGGCGCCTTGCAGACCTCGTACTCCTTGCCTCAGGCCGCCGCAGCCGTCTTGTCGGGCAGGTCGACGACAACGCTAAGGAATCCTTATTATATGATTGGTCAATTGGAGATCCCCGTCTTTGCTCCGCTTCGCGCTTCCTTGAACTTGTGCCTTACCTAAGTGCAATGGGTGTGTCGAAGACGGGCAGCCTATCCACCATGAAATGGGCGTCTCTTCCATCGTGAGAGGGACTGATCTACCCTATACAACCTCGTAAACTCAAACTCACCTGAGAGAACCCCGAGTCATTTTTTACTTTTCCATCCTGTCAATCGACCCCACCCCACCACACCATACCACAATCTTCCCCCCTCCTTCATCGTCATACTTTTACCAACCACCAAAGCAAGCAAACTCCTGCTATCGAGATTCACAAGCTCAGGCCGTCTGCCGTTCCTGTGCCCAGTTACCTCGTACCTAATCTATCAGATCTGCTTCGTCCTACTGAAGCTAATTCACAGCTGAAAGCCACCAAAGCTTAACCATGGAGCTTCCCTTTGTTACTCTCGACGTCTTCACAACCACTCGATATCGAGGAAATCCCCTTGCCGTTGTCACGATTCCCGCAGATAGAAATATACCAGAGCCTACGCAAGAGCAAAAACAAAGAATTGCCCTCGAATTCAATCTATCCGAAACCGTTTTTATCCACGAACCCCGTCCTGATACCGATGTCGACAGTGATGTCACCCGCCGAGTGATCGACATTTTTACAGTCGACACAGAGATCCCCTTTGCTGGGCACCCAACTATCGGCGCCGCTGTCACCCTCATCCCCCATGGTGTTGATACCGTCGTTACCAAGGCTGGCCCAATTTCTCTCACCCAGACCCGCCCTGGTTATATCCAAGCTGCTATCCCGCACAATGTTCGTCGTCACAGCAAGACTCTTGCCGATCTGTCTGCCCCGGTCGCTGCTCAAATATCCCAGGACCCTGCGATACGCGAATCCGAGCTCCAGGCCCCGCTATTCAGTATCGTCAATGGCATGACCTTTGCGCTCATCAGACTCCCGGATCTTGAGCATCTGGCCAAAGTTGAGATGAGCGGGGTAAACTTGTCTGTAGACCAACTTCTCGACGACGGCTGGCAAAACGGTCTCTTGCTAAAGTACTACTATGTTGTCAATGGTCAGCGTGAAGACGACGGCACAACAGTTTATTCTATCCGCTCGAGAATGATGGAAGCATCCATGGAAGATCCTGCCACAGGCAGTGCCGCGAGCGCTCTCTCAAGCTACCTTTCGCTTCAACAGTCGAGCCTAGGTGATCATAGCTTCAGATATGAGATTGACCAGGGTGTTGAGATGGGCAGGGAGAGTAATATTGTAGTTGACGTTGATGTAAAAGAGTCCAAGATCTCCACGGTCAAGCTCTCAGGAACAGCTACTCCAGTAATGCGAGGTCATGTCACCATCTAATCGAGAGATATAGCATATTGCCTGTTCCCAACTGCTCTATAAACCCAGGACCCAATCGTTATCACGTATTTAACCAAAGGGGCAGTATTCCGAAACCAATCATGCGCCTGGTATGTTCTTCCGACAACATCGTAACGACTATCGTACAGTGATACAGTATTACTGCAATGTGATATCGGCCTGGAAACATCATCGCCCCCCCAGGCGAGTCTGCCCCAGGGCCGTAGTAACACTTGCGCCTCTATAATTCTGAATTCTTTTTGGACCCAACGCCCCGTGCCTCTCTCATAATGATGCACCGTCAAAAACCAAGAGTTCCGCCGATAATAAAATACGTTTCTCCTATAGATTCCTCCTTGTGACGTTTTACCCAGTCCTATTCATTCCATCGCGGTGTGGCTATATGACCCGCGACCTATGCTCGTTGAAGCACGTCTGCAAACTTTTTGGCAACCTAGAAATAACATTAGTACTCGGCCCATGTTAACAGTGGGCGGATATCTGACTGACCTCATGACTCTCGTCATCGATGAAAGGAAGTTTGAAGAATCCATACTTGTCTTCATTCTTCACAAGCTCCACAACAGTGTACAGCAGACCCCATGGTTGAGGCCAGAAACTAACCAGTCGCTCAAGCAGCACTCGGGTGATGTCCTCGCGGAATTCATCTTCCTCAGGATCGCCAAGATCCTTGGCAAAGATGGAAAGGAGCGCCTGGCTGAAGAAGGCAGTGTGGGCGCTGGGATATCGAAGTTGGTTGACTAGGCTGACAAGGATATAATATCTGGCCTCGGCAGGGAGTTCGTGAATGATCAGAGAAAGAAGTGATACTTCATTCTCGTCACCAGTTACGGACAGGTCTGCGCCAGTTTGGGTTGCCTTCTCCACAGCACGGTGTCCAATGTATAAAACGACAGCGTCAATAACGCTCGTGTTGGCGACGACAGGCACATGGCCATAAGTAGATGCCTTTGGAGTGTCATGTGTCATGGCGTGGGTGATGTTGGCAACGATATCTTCATTTGGTCCATTCTGAAGTGCTTGGTCTAGGACTTTGAGAAGACTGCGAGACTGAAGTGTCACGCTGGCCTCATTCATAAGTCCGGCAAAGAGGCGCATATCGTCGAACTGGATCTTACCACCAAGCTCGTTGAACCTAGGGCTCTGCTGGGGATTTGCAGCCAGGACAGCGTTAATGAGCTGCGTGCAATGAGGTGGAATGCTAGAGCAAAGCTTGGCGTGATTGGCCACGACAAATTCGGGGAAGTCGTGCTGTAGAATGACGAGCAGCTTGAAGCAAGCCCGGTAAATGTCTTTGGCAACGTTGGATACCTCAAAAACCTTCAACTGATCACCGAGAGTGTCTAGCAACTGGCAAAGCAGGTCGGAAAAGGGGCCCCAGCCAACACCGTTGGGCAGCTGTAGAATTGCTGGCATGAAAGCACGGTGCTGAACAAGAGACATCCAGCCGTAAACGAAGCCGGGAACATATAAGGGGTTGATTTTGAACAGTCGCCGAGCGATCCTCAGAAGAATTTCACGGCGCTCATCCTCAGCCAGGCTCTCCGAAATCCCCTGAATTTCGTAAAAGAGCATGGATAGCAATCTGAAGAAAACGCGCTGGCTCAGCTGCTCCCCGCGCTTAACATGGTGGTTGACAAGAATGAGCTCAATAAGTGAAAGCACCGAGTCGATAAATGCGGGACGAGTAGATGTTGGCTCAAAGCCCATACTGATGAACGTTGCAATGAGCTTAGCAAGGGCATCTACCATGACATAGGCATCGGCAAGGGAACCACTGTGGACAATGTAGTCGAAGCGCTCAATCGACAGGTCGATGGTGACGCGGATGAAGACAAAGAGGTCATCCCTGTTCTGCATGACCCCTTTAGCGTGCAGCTGCTGCACGAACGCCGTGACAGCCTTCTCAGAGGCATTGTGGTTGCGGCAAAGATGGATCCATTCGTCGAAAACATATTCTATCTGTTCGTGTTGGAGAGCCTGACTGTCAGCGTGAGTCGGCCTTGTCAGACCGGAATTGGTGAGCTTTGACTTGACGCGTTGCCCAGGGGCAGAATCGGGATCATCCGAGATCCATGACCAAGCTGCGTCCAGCGTCAGGGCAAAGTCGGCATACAAAGCAATCGGACGGGAGTCGAGCAGCGTGAGGTCGAGCAGGTGCTCCAAAAAGTCAAGAGATCCCTCTTTGCGTGCCTGCAGTGCTTTCGACATGGCTAGATCGATGTTTCTCCAATCCAAAAGGTCCGTTCGAACCAAGGCTGCGAGCAGAGGTAAACTCAAGAAGGTGGAGCCAGGCTGCTGGCTGAAGAGAGTTCTAACGCGGCTGTTGAGGACAGGGCCAGCGATCTTCCTAAGCGTCTCCAAAACATGAACTAAGCTCTCCAAAGCCAGGTTGTCGTCAACCTGCGAGAAAATGAGCTGAATGATTTGTTCCGCAGCGTAAATGGAAAAATCTTCATGGCTCTGCGAAGTCTTGATGATGTGCTGAACGAGTGCATCAACAACGTCCACAAGAGGAGATGGTCGCGGTAGATCCAGGAAGTGTTCATGGGGAGACTCGGTGGCTACCCTCATGAGTTCCTGGAGTAGCTTGTTGACCCGCTCGGCTAGATTACGAACATCCATCTGGAAGCCGGGTGATCTACCGTTAGTCATTGCATTAGAAGCGGTATGAGGGGGTGCATAGGGCTGCATCTGAGCACCCAAATGTTGCTGAATTGTGGGGGTCTCCGCAGGAGTCGGAATACTAGGGATAGAACTAAATTGATCCTGGAGCACCTCATTGGCCAAGGATCTAGTAGCATCGGATGCTGACGGGCCGTGTGAAGGCGCGGGAAGCGTGGCGCTTCGTGGCTGCCTGGCGAAATCTTCATAAATAGCCATCTGCTCAGGGTTGAGGCCATTGACATTCGGTGATAACTTGAAAGGATTAGGAATAGCCATGGCCCATCGGCTGAGGCTTGAGTCGAAGTAAGGATCGTTAGGTCTCTGGAGACGATGTCGTCGACGAGCCTCGAGCTCCGGTTCGATCATCTCCTCGATTTCGGGGACAGCCCTTTCCTCAGCCTGCTTCTCAATGATATTGCAGGCTAAGTCCAGGTTTGAGTTAACACACATAATGATTGTGCCCTCGGGGAGTCCTTGAGAGAGATCGGTCGAGAGATTTCGCATGTAGTTAGTGAAGTTGGCGCGAAGGGGTTCTTTGGACGTAACGAGGGCAAGGCTACCGGCGGTGGCTTTCACCATGCTAATAGCAGAGTTGCGTACACGGTTCTCGTCGGGCTCTATAGCAAAGTCCTTGTGTATCATCTGCTGCGTGGATATGGCGGCAATAGTAACAGAGCGATCAACGACAGGCTGGATTATATCTTGCAGAGCACGGCTGAGGGCCGTACGGACAATCTCATGAAGACGAGTAGTGCTGACAACCATCTCATTAGTTGGGGGGATAGTAATCAGGGGACCAAGGTCAGGAATGGTTGGCGCAAGAGCCTGAGGTGAGAGTCCAGCACCCACACCGGACCCGATGCCATTGAGCGATAGATTCTCAAACGCATCTAGTTGCTCAGGGGCCAGGGTCTCCGCCGGCTCTTCAATGACAGGCCGGTTCAGGATTTCGCCCGAAGGCTCGATACTCCTGTGATCAAGGTTCAAACCTTTGCACAAGACCTCAATCTCAAACTTGAGATTGAGTTTCAGCTCGGCATGATGATAAAGCTCAATTAGCAAATGGATGATATCCATAAGCCATGGATTCGGGGGCCTGAAAACGGCTGAGGAGGCGCCTTGAGTCAGAACTTTGCATACGAACGGGATAACAACGATGAGTCGCTTCGTATCGTGAGCCTCAATTAAAAGCTGCTTGAAGGCGATGTTCTTGTGTTTGATAGGACGATCTCGTGCCAGAGTCAAAAGACCTAGCCAGCCTCCGAGATTTTTGAGGTGAGTCCTTTCCGTTGAGTTCTGCATGGTCGCCTCCGAGTTCAGCATTCGGCACACGCTGATGTAAGTCTCTCTCAGGACCTCACTCCAGAGAGCCTTGTCTTCAAACAGCTTGACCAGTTCGAGATAAACATGATGGTAATTTGGCTGCATCTTGGCGCGCTCCTCAACAAGATGGCTAGCAAACCATTGCTGATGCCGGCGCTCCATGGTCTCTCGAAGTTCTTGACACATGGCCTGTAGTGTGCCTTCGGTGATATTATTGAGAACGAACTGGACCTTGTCCTGGGCTCCCTCGTCAGGATCTTCGAACTCAACGTCCATAGCTGGCGGATCGACATTCAGAGCAGCAAACGCAGGCGCTTGACGCTCAACATTGGCCAGCTCATCCGAGTTTCCATTAGGGAAACCATCGCCTTGAAATCCTAGTCCATGAGGCGTTCCGGCGCCGTTACGCCCACGGGCCAACTCTTCTTCATGCTCACGAACAACCTCCTCCGCCTTTTTGTAAACTTCCGTGTTATGGAGTCCGGGTATCTGGCAGAGCTGCCTGCAGAAGGCAGGCCATTCTCGAAAGCGAATGAACAACTGCATCAGTGCCTGAAGGCCAAACTTGTACATAGGTTCATCAGGAGAATGGTCCTTAACAGCCTCCAAAATCATGCCTAATCCAATTTGAAGAGGCAAGTTTGAAACGAGCTTATGCGAAATGATGCCACCGAATAGAACTGCGGTTGTTGCCAGAGCTTCCAGAGGATAGTCGGCATAGTGAGAATACTCATCAAAGAGCCCGTGGATCATGCATGCGAAAACGTCCTGATCCAGAGGATCCCTGGAATGCTTATAGCGGTCTAAGACCTCAACTATATTGCGAACCTGTACCTCATCACTATACATCTTCTTGTAGTGCTCCTCCATCCTGGTGTTGGCGGTCGGAGACAGGAGGTTCCCATCCCTTCCATTGGCGTCGATGACATCGTCGTAACCCTCACCGTAGTTGATCAGTCGGGGGTAGGCAATAATGCAAGCGCGCTGAACCAGGATCAATTCTGGCCTAGGAGGACTGGGCGAAAAGTCTTCGAGAATTTGCAGTAACGCTGATACGGTACGAACTTGGAGGGTCGTTGTGTTCTTAACAGAAGAGTCATCAGAAGTTCCTCGCTGAAACTGGCTCTCCAAGTTGGCCTTTATCATCAAGAACTGAAGCAGAGTATTATACATCTCTTCACTCCGGTCAGCATTGAACCGTGCCCACTTGGACAAGTCCAAGTATCCTTCAGCGTGGGCCAGAGCGGCTAAATCGACTCCAAATCCATTTGACTGGTACACCAGTGTGTCAAGCCAGTTATGCTTTACAGCGTGCTCAAGAATAACCGGGAGGTCCATCGGCTTAACAGCATGAGTGTCTACCAAGCGCTGAATGACCCAGTTCTTGTCTTTCCTCCAGACACTATCCAGAACAAAGTCGTATTGGGGCGAACGCTTATAAAGAAAATTTTCGAACAAAGAACTGAGTGTTTCAACGGCCATTGGGGCCCAATGCTGCCGAGGAACTTCGAAAGCGGAGACCAGGAAGATGTCCAGATTCGGGACTACCACTTCTTGGAAGAGCCTCTTGGCCTCGATACTCGTCGACGCCATCATGGAACTAAGCGCGACATTGAAGATCGAGGAGAGAGCAGCAACGGATATTAACGGATGCTTGACGGCGACAACTGCTCGCTCTTGTACATTCTCAGGCGAGTTTGCGTATTCCTCAATAGTAATGCTGCGCTGGAGCCCGGGAATCGTCGTCGCGTCAAGCTGATCAGGAGTTAAAGAGGCATAGGCACTAACAAAAGAGAGCTGAGCCTCTGGATTCCTCCAAACGCCACCCCATAACCTCTGAATATCCACTATCAAGCCAGACTTGGAGTCTTGTGCAATTGGCAAGAAAGCCTGGTAAAGTCGAAGGAACTGCTGGGAAGAGACACGAGTCGATGGTTGGTCGAACAGAATGATGACCTCCATCCAGTCGAATGACTTCGGTAGGACTCTCCTGAGAGCAGCAACCAGAACACCAGTATCTTGCTGTGGGCTTTGACTAATTGCAGTGAAGGTCATCGCAGCTGAAACTTGTTCGGGGCCCAACTGCAAGCCACTGGGGCGGTTCTGTAAATAAGAGACACATGTTTCCTCGTCTCTGGTGAAATCGAGGCCCGTCTTTTGGATATATCGAACTAGCCCATTGAAAGGCCTATCGGCGAGCACTCGACTGAGATCCAGAGCCGCGAGGATTTCGGAAGGCGGTGTACGCTCGGGAGACTGGTCCATCCATCGGCTGATGACACGTGTTTCCAATTCGCGCATAGAAGAAGCATTGAAGCTCGGAGGATGATATTGAAGAAACCGGTCCAGAATCAGGGCGATAAAAGATGGGGTCAGATCGGCATGGGCGTCGAGGTCAAATCGAGAAAGGATATCGATGAAGGAGGGGAAGTTAGTAGATAATATAGCGTCGGCTGCCTTGACATTAGAACAGAACACTCCCGGGACAAACTTCCTAATGGCATGAACCAACCTTTCGTCTTTAAATCTGCTCGAGAAGTGAGCTTAAAGGCCAGAGCTAATATGGTCTTCTCTAATGCATCGAGCTTGAAATGTTCCATAAAGGTAGAAAGATCAAAGTCGCGGAAGATATCCTCTGTGGCACTCTCAATCGATTCAGCAATCTTACTTGCTTGATTGGGATCGTGCGAAATCTTCTGCATCTCGGCAACAAGAATGTGATAGTTGTTGGGGCTTGTGCCGGGCCTGTTGAGGCCAGGGAATATCTGGGGCGCATTGCCGGCAACGAGCCGGGTGAAGTACTTAGTAAACACTTCCATTCCGTGTTCATCGATGAGCTGTTAAGTTGGTGCATTGTCAGCAAACGTGGGATATGTCCAGCAGCAATAGTGTAGCCAAACCTTGTTCAATTGGTCAACCTGCAGCTCCCACTTAGCACGGTCCTTGTCCTCCTTGATAGTACTGAGTAGAAGATAGACCTGTGCCACGACGATCTTGGTCAGGGAATTAGTGCCCGTTGGACTGCTGGCGCTTGGGCTTGCGCCAGCACTGAGAATGGCGGCCTGCGATGGGTGAGGAGAATGGCTCGCACCCGTCTGTAGTATCTGCGCAGGATTGGGCGAAAATGATCCCGCTCGAGGTGGTGGGACCATGGAGTTGTATTCGCGGCGGAGGGAGATGAGATGATTGAGCGCCTGCTTTCGTTGTGGTGGCAGGCCGGAGGGCTCAGAAAACGAGCGAGCGGGGAAGTGTGAAGGAGGAAGAGTCCGTATATAAGATGCCTACATGGGGGGGCGGCACGATGAAGCTGCGAACAGAGGTCGTCGAGACGTTGCAGAGACTGCGCGATCGTGCAACGATAGTCGAACAGAGAGGCACTCGTGAGCCTGACTCGACTTGAGGGTGGAGTTGGAGGTACGTGTCGTACTCGGCGTTCGTCGTAGGGAGGGCGCCGAAAACGCTACAAACTGACAGGGTGGGGGGGAAGTCCGTAGCGATTCGGCGTCAAGTAAGCCAACGAGACCCGAAATATTTATGGCGCGTGGTGATGCAAGTATCGATATCGTCAAGAACGTCTGTACACAAGGTGGTGGTGGTCGATGTTGGGTTTGGAGGACAAGGTACTGTAACTGAAAATGACAAGGCCCTTGAGAACGGCAAATCCCGATACGTCGAATGAATCCACTATACCCGCATCACGTGAGCCGTTCTGCTACCAACACCGTGGTCAGTGCTCCCTTTGTTGCTGTGCCAACTGCTTCATGCCACCAAAACAATACAGCTAGCTCTCCATTCACCGTACATTACTCCCTTTACCACCATTGAAGGGGCTACATACCAGAAATCCTTTTTGTCTCGCTTCCTCTGTCCTTAGTGTGGAGAGTAGTGCGACTCAGGCCGGTCCTTAATCATCCATATTCGTTGGAAACAACATAACGTCCGTCTGTCTTGACATTTGAAATTGAATACCCTTGGGCATCATGCCCGCATCAACGGTTGAAACTCCAGCCGTTGCGCTGTCTTGTGAGCAAACTTTGACGACGTCTTGATGTTTACTTGACTGATATATGATACTACAGTCGCAAACAACTTTTGGGGCAAAGAAGATGCTGGCGTGGCGCCGCTGCTGAGTCGCATGACTGCGGCCAAGACTACATGCGATGAACTACGAGCATTCTATGGCGGTGCGTACAAGTGAAGTTATTGCAAGAAAACCATCTGACTGAATGCGCTGCAGCTCGAGCGTCGATTGAGGAGGAATACTCCCGTAAATTATTGAACCTGAGTCGCAAAGCCTTAGGATCGCAGGAGTCTGGCACATTGAAGACATCGTTGGATACCGTCCGAGGCGAAGTCGAACAGATGGCCAAGCAGCATCAACTCATTGGCGCAGAAATGAAGTCAGAGCTTGAGGAACCACTCGCTGCCTTTGCTGGCGGAATGAAGGAGCGACGAAAGATTATTCAGAACACCGTCGAAAAGCTATTGAAGGTCAAGATGCAACAGACACAACAAGTCAACAAGGTTAGACTACTCTTCTCGACTCTCCATTACGATTGAAGCTGACTTAGGTTCTAGACACGAGACAAGTATGAGCAAGAGTGTTTGAAGATCAAGGGCTATCTTGCTCAAGGCCACATGGTAATGGGCCAAGAAGAACGACGCAACAAAGCCAAACTCGAAAAGACACAGATCAGCCTTGCAACTTCCAATACAGAGTACGAAAATGCAGTTAAAGCACTCGAAGACACGACAACAAGATGGAACAGAGAGTGGAAGTCAGCCGCCGACAAATTCCAAGATTTGGAGGAAGAACGACTCGACTTCACCAAGAGTAGCCTGTGGACTTTTGCCAATATCGCCTCCACGGTTTGCGTTAGTGACGATTCGTCCTGCGAGAAGATCCGACTCTCATTGGAGGTTATGGATGTGGAAAAGGACATCATCACTTTCATTACAGAAAAGGGAACCGGACAGGAGATCCCAGATGCTCCCAAGTATATCAACTTCTGTCGTGGAGATGTGACAGATAACCAATCTGAGACGTCAGAAGACGACAACTATTCTGTCGCTCAATTTCCTCGCAGCATCAACCCTGCTTTCCGTTCGTCGTCTCCTCAACCTTCGACATTCGAGTCGCATCATGATCCAAATTCTGCTCTGGCCAACGACCTGGCGCACAGAGAAGTCGCTTCAAGCAAACGTGATCTTCCAAGCCAGAAGCCAGCAACGCTGCCCCCTGACGAGATACTCCAAATTGGCACTCAAAAGCCTCAACCTCAGCAGATCCAGGCCCCTCCTCAACCGCGTCAACAGCAGATACCACGCCCTTCTCAGATGCAGCACCCCGCTCAGCTGCAATATGCCCCCCAGCAACATCAGCATCCCTCCCAGTTGCAGCACCACTCTCAGCTTCAGCACCCATCGCAGCTGCAGCATCACCCTCAGCAGCAGTACTCCCCTCAGCGTCAGCAACCATCCCAGCAGGTCGCTCACCATGCAGGACATCACATGCAACAGCAAATGAGGCCCCTGGAAATGAGACCCGCAGATGGCAGATCTGGAGATATGAGGCACTCGAACATGCGACATCCAGATATGCGACAGCACGATCCAAGACCGTCTTTGGAGATGCGCCACTCTGGGGAAGTTCGGCCTTCCATGCAGTCTCGACCCAGTGCCGATGCAAGGCAATCAATGGATGCAAGAACATCTCTGGAAGTAAGGCGACCAATGGAGGATCCGTATCGCCGCCAACAACCTGCAGGTCATGCATCGTATGATGCCAACCAGCATGGTGCTGTTGCAGCCGTGCCACACGACCCTTACCCCCTGGATGGCATGACGATGCTATGCAGGACTGGGCCCAGCCCCATCTCGGACCAGAGTTCGCAGGTGACATCTGCTCGGCCTTCGAGCAGAGACTCCCATAGTGATTATTCAAACCCCAACTCGTTCTCTAGTGTGGAACCACCGAGCGGCAAAACTTCACCCGTCAAGCAGGATCCTATAAAACCGAACCCAGTGCCAACTCAACCGCCAGCACCAGTGTCGGCACCTGCGCCGGCACCTGCCCCTGCTCCGGCTCCAGTCACTGCTCCGGCTCCGGCGCCTGCACCAGCTGTCAGCAATGGTCCAAGCCCAGTCAAATTAGTTGCTAAGAAGAAGAGCGGTGGTTTCTTAAAGAACCACAGTCCATTCAGACGTAAGAGCAACAAAGATCTTCAGTCATCAAACAGGAACACATGGCACGCACCGAGCACTCAAACCTCGGGTAGTCCCGTTCGCCGACCACAGTTGCAAACACAAGAGTCCAGCAATGTTGTCACCAAAGAACGTACTCAGAGTCCCGAGCCCATCGATGCCAATGCCAGTCTGGCTCTGGGAGTGGGACAGAATGTCTTCCCTGTATCTACCCCTGACACAAAGAAGAAACCAGGAGCTGCCACTGAACAGACACCCGAGGAAACAGACCCAATCGCTCTGGCCCTTGCGGAGCTGAAAGGTGTCACGTTAGGCAAGCAGTCATCAATGAGAATGTCCGCTGATCACTATTCCGGGCTTGCCACTCCGGCGCCAGCATCAGAAGCTGCTTCAAGACAAGCCTCAGCCTCTCGCACAGCCCCGACTCCTGTGAACCCGGATGTTGCGGCGGCAAAGAGAGGAACACCGCCGCCATCATACCAAACCCCAGTTTCACGCCTGGGTGTCCCACCACCTGCAGTGACTTCTAGGGCAATGAAGGAAGCGACCAAGAAGGCTACCACACAGACACGAAGCATGTTTGAGAGTGGAGGCGGTTCACCAGGAGGATTCAATAGTACTGCTTCTAGGACCAACACTCGAGCAACCGAAACAAGGCGATCTGAGCCATCCCCAACTCAGAGTGTTCCACCAAGTGCTTCACGACCGGTTACTCGAACCACTAACCATGGCAGGGGCGAGTCTGGTAGTTACAGCGCGTCCCCTGTGTCACGACAGCCAACTAGAGCCACCGATAACGGACGCGGCGAGCCTGGAAGCTATAGCTCAGCATCCATGCCTCGACCAGGCACTCGGGGCACTGACATGGGTAGAGGGGATACTGGCGGCTATAGTACACCACCCGTGGCACGTTCGGGAACCAAAGCAAGCGAGATGCCCCGATCGGACACTCGCGGAATCCCTATTTCGCGACCAGGCACAAGGGGAAGTGACATGTCTCGTGGCGGATCTGGTATTTACGGATCATCGCCTGGTTCCCGACCTGGCACCAGGGGCTCTGATATGCCCAGAGCAACTTCGCCAGCACCAGCTCGCAGCGTGTCTCCACAGCCACCTATGAACGACAACATGAGCTACAGATCAGTATCGCCCAACCCTTACGCTGCTAGCCAACGCTCCCCGTCTGTCATGAGCTCACCACAGAAGCATGGCTCTGCCCAGGGGTATTATCCCCAGTCACCTCAGCAGGCTGCTAGCCGCGGGCCTTCTCCTTCACCTTATGCCCAGCAGAATCGCCCCGGAAGCAGCTATGCAGGTAGCGACATGGCAATTCAGCTCGCGCCGGTTGATGATCCCTATGGTTCTCAGAGGAGTCGAGGCAGCCGCCCTGCTTCGAGGGCCATGAGCTACTATGACGATGGTAGTACCCGTCAACGTAGCCAAAGCGTTGCTGATCCGTCTCGGCTGTATACGGGAGATGGCAGAGCAATTCTGCATTATGGTAAGTCTTTAATGAGCCAGTATCAAAGGGAGGAAGAGACTAACATGACCCTTTTGCAGCACGCGCGTTGTACATGTATCAAGCAGCCATTCCCGAGGAGTTGAGCTTTGGCAAGGGTGACTATCTTGCGGTCCTCCGTCACCAAGACGATGGATGGTGGGAGGCTGAAGTCCACGGCGGAGACGGAAGCGTCGGGCTGGTCCCAAGCAATTACCTTGCGGCGTGCTAAAGCTTACGATATGAGCGACTTGATGGACGAATTTTTGGAGATGTTTCTTGTGGAATGAATGGATTGTAGGTAAGGATTATGGCAGGAAAAGGGCACCGACGAAATTGGTTTACGACTTGATTTACACCTTCGTTACGCTGTTATCTTGTACAGCAGATATTTGGCATGGAAGCGCTGACCTTGTTGTTGTTGTTGTTGCTTCAGACTATTTTGATTTTTTATTTGTGTCACGATTATTGGGAAAGATTGAAACGACTGTTTTTCTATATTACCTCATTAAAATGAGAATCATTGTGTGTAGATGTTATTGAGACATTAGATATTCTGAATTAATGTGTCGAAATTAAGGTATCCTTTATAACTTACAATTCATTGCTTGAGGTGCCTGGTGAAGTTGAATATCTTCTTACCTAAGGTTGGTACGTACCGAATTATGACGTTGAAGCCGGCAGAGCTCCAAAGCTGCCCTGGCGCCTTCACATGCCACTCACTCACTCACTCACTCACTCACTCACTCCCTTTGACCTTTGCTCCCTTCAATTTCGCAACCTGTGACGCTCTAGCTCATACTCATACCCATGTCTCCTATACTGATGACCTGAATAATCTGAAGGATCATAGCATGGTTAGTTGTTCGTTCTGGTATTTATTTATCATCCATTCGCGACTGACTTTGCTTGACAAGGAAACCCTACAAGAAACCGCCCGTGTTATCACGTCTAAACCTGTTCAGCGAGCTGTCGTTAATACCGTACTCCTCGTTTCGACAGCAGCAACCCTCTTTTGCACGGCTGCTATAGCTTCATTGCTCTTTTTCCAGAATTTTCTTCCTCACGAGGTCGTATCTTTGCCATTGCATCTCCAATATGGGTGGGTTATTAATACTGTGTATGTTGCTCGCCTGACTGACAGCATTGTTACAGCTCTGGTATAAACCCGTATGGGATCGTCTCCCTTCAGACGCCACCAATGAAGACGCAGCAAGAGTACGATGTGTCGTTGATTTTGGCGATGCCTCGCTCGAATCCAAACGTGGAGCGCGGCAACTTCATGATTACCCTGCACATGGTCAACTCGCAAGCTGATGCTGGGTTGCATGCTGCGGCCGAACGTCACGCATCGTTACACCAAGGATTGGAAGGGGCCAATGTACTGTTCACTTCACGCAGGCCTGCTTTGTTTCCTTACGTGGACCCATTAGTATCGGTTGCGTCTCGCGTGCTATTTCTGCTTTACCATTTGTTCACACCGGGTTCAAGCACGAACTCGATGATCATCCCGTTGGCCGAGCGAGTCTTGTTCTCAAGGGCCTCGGATCTCCCCAAGTCAGCGTATGTGGAGGTCGAAGCGGGCCAGACTATTCAGATTTACCATGCCTACCTTCAGCTCACAGCTCAGCTTCGTGGGCTCCGGTGGATGATGGTTCACTATCGCATCTCGACATTCATCGCCTTGACCCTTGTTTTTTGGGCTTTTGAAGTTATTTTTATGGGTGTTGCTTGGGGACTTTGGAGCATGGCTTCAGGATCACCGCCTGGAGATGCTGCTGACAAGACCAGGAGGCTTGAGGCAGAACGATATGAGTATGAAGATGAGGACACAGATCACGCAGAGACCTTCCCAACATATGGAAGACAGCAACCGCTCAAGTACGAGCCCGAAATCAAACCAGAGGCGGACCCTGAACAGCCTTTGTCGGAAATTCCTCGCGCAGGAGCCGACGCGGATGACGAAGATGAGGGAAGTTTTGACGATGACGACGACGATGTGCAACACAAGGATTCGGGCATCGGGACGAGTTATAGTGAGGAGGGAATTTCAAGCATTCGAAGACGAACGTCGCGTAATAAGTTGTAGAGGAGGGAAGTTTTGCGAGGCCTTAATATAGAGAGGGACTGAGTGTGATGAGTGGAAGCAGATACCCGTGGCTTATGATATGCAGTACTAACCAAGAATAAGAATGTGTTGTCAGCTGGGGATTCTGTGTTTACCTATTATGCAGGGGAAACTGCCTGGTAAGTTAGACTATGCTGATCCGACATGCATGCCAAGTTGGCTGTAATTCGATGACGAGCTCATGGCAGGTAGAGTTTGGCGTTTGTTTTTGGCTACCTACTCTACTACTATACTTAATTCCCTTGTCAAGAAACGAACGCCTGATTAATAAAGAATAGCAACGTGCGCTTCGTTTTGTTTCACAACAAGGGATGCATCCATTGGATTGTAATTTACAAGTCGTTTGCCTGGCTCCCGACAGTCAATGGTTTCAAGGCGTGCGCTGATGCGTACCTATGTAAAGCGGGCGATTGATTGATTCACTTTCACCGTTTGTTGGCTACGTCTTTCGGCATCCTACCATCGACAACGGCTGAAGGTTTTGCGACGGATATCAATATAAGAATACGATAGCATTCATTGTTTGAAAATAGAGCATTAAATCTATACTGTTTGAAGAGCGTCGGGTATCGATCTCCAGTCACTATAGTACACTAACTGCACATTGAAGTCTTCCCGTTGAAATTCACCAACTAATTCTTCAGTGCACATGCATGTTTTCAACCCCTCCAGGCCCCTCTATCCACATCCACACTCGCTCTCCTCTGGCTGGGCCTGGGCTCGGGCTGTCGTGACCCCCCATTGTACCTGAGCATCTTGCTGTAGCTTAGGGGACACTCACACTCACCCATCCCATCCCATCCATGCTCTGGCTGATCCATTTCTCAGAGCCCCTCAAACCCCTCCACTTTCTTTCTGTTGCCAACAATCAAACGCATTAGGTTGTGCATCATTCTTCGCTACTAGGAGTACCTGGGTTAGTGTGGTGTAACTCAGCAACACCGCCTGGCGTCACTAGCATTCATCGACTTTTCGTTCTATTCTGTGTAATTAAATTCTCGCCTTTTCACATCCATTCACACTCACACTCGCGCTCACACTAGAGGCACATGGTTCTCAATCACTGAACTGAACGAACAACTCGACGTCTCCACCACAATCCACATCCCACCTCACCTCGCCATCCCCGACCCCCCCAAGTTACCTGGTAAGGTAAGGTACCTGACAGCAATCGTGCCGCTACCGCTACCGCTACGTACCGACCGCTATTACTAGCTCGATTCACCTGGACTCATTGCGGGCCAACTACTGCGATTCCCTCCACCGCCCGCCCGCTTGTTCCTCTCGACGTCTCCCGAATCAACTCTGAACCCGATAATCTCCAAGAGGCCAGACAGACCTGAGCTGAGTTCACCGACCTGACCGCATGTGCTGCGTTTAGCACCTGCGAGCGAGCAACCGACTGCTTCTGCTGTCCATTCTTTGCAACTCCTTCGCTTGACCCCTCGCCTTTGCCTTCGCCCAGCCTTCAACGAGCCTAGACGCAGACGGGACGAGACGTCACGGTCAAGTCTTACACACAACTACCGCCGTGACCAGCTTCTCTCTGCCTCCTCTCTTCTCGAACCCATATACATACACCAGCCACCAACCGTAGCACACCACATACCGTCACGATGCCCTGCTTCAAGGGCATTGCGGTCAGCATTCATGCGAACTCTGCCCCGCTGCCAGAGTATGGCATGCAGAAGCAATCTCGTCTCTCAAGAATCAGTACCTACATTCCTGTACCCCAACCTCAGCTCGCCGAGTCAAACAAACCCGAGCCTGCAAAATTCGCCATCTCCATCACCCTTCTCACCCCCGGCTTGCCTATCCCATACTCGACCCCGAAGCCAAGTGATGATAACCCCTACCCGAAGCCTCAGTTCGTCGGCGGTCTGAACACCGGTGATCGGAATAAGTCCTCTGGTGTTGTGAACCCCTACATCCCCATGACGAACTCCGAAAATGAGACCATCGCTGCTTACATCTATTTTGACGGTCGAGCTAAGGAGGAAGTTGCTACTCTTCTGCGACCAGGTGAAGAAACTTGGGTCAACAGCCGCTGGGTCCAGGTGCCAGACTCTGAAGGTGGCGGTCTGGCTGAGCGAGAATTTCTATTCCGCGAGGTTGGCCTCGAGCGTTGGCTCAACGGCTTGGACCTACAAGGCCATGATGCTGCCGAGAAGCTAGAGAAGCGTCGCCAAAAGTTTGAGAAACGCCGCCGACGACAACGGGCCATGGAAGGAAACGCCAGTACCGACGTAGAACAGGGATCTACAGGACGCAGGGACACACTACGCTATGGCGCTGACGACAAGTCTCCTATTGAACCTGTCGTGGACGACTCTGATTCCTGGTCCGACGACGATGACGAACCTCCTGAGGCGACTGGGCAGATCAAGGTGGCTATGTTCCGCGTGCTTGCCTCTGGCGAAATCAAGAAGGGCGAATACTCACCCCAGTTCGGTGCTCACGACGGCGACGAAGATGACATGGGCTCTAAGGAAGGAAATGGCATCGACGCCGACGTTGAACACACGACAAGTTTCGCGAAGCCCAAGACTCTTGATCCGAAGACCATTAGTACACAGACAGTCACGGGCATTGACGGACCAGATAAGCCCTACGCTGTCTTTACCTTTTTTTACAGAGGAGAGCGTAAGTATCGCCGGGCGTTTTGGGGGATCGTGCACTAACCTACATTGCAGGACAATTGCAAAAGATCGGGGTTCTACAGTCCTCAAAGAACCCTCAGACAACCCCTGGATCAGCCAAACGGAGGTCAGGTCAACTAGACTTCTCCAGCCTCGGACCTCTGAAGGCTGGCGGCACCGTTGGCTTCTCCGCTTTCCGTGACCAGGCTACCGAAGCCTCGAGACGACGCAAGGCTAGAAAGAAGAGCAATGGAAACATCGCCGATGATAGCGACGACGATGATGAAGTGGATGACGAGAACCTTGGCAAGATGGAGGAAATGTACGCAAAGGATGTGAACGCAAAGCTTGCGCCAGAAGACGTCAAATTCCAGGGCGAACTTGCTGAGGGCGTGGATCGTATTCACGTAAGTTCTGCGGATGTATTTTCCGGAATATTTGAACTGACGCCATGATGCAGCTTAAGAGGGCGCATTCTGCAGACCCGGACAGCCTGGCCACACCGGAATTGTCACAAACCCCGACCGCAGCTAGCGAATCCACGTCACAAGTGCCTACCACCGGGGGCTCTCCCGCCAACAATCTTCTCTCGAATGCTGTAGGCCTTGATACATCTAGCAAGTCGATCTTCCAGAGTCCTCTCAAGAAATACCGACCCAGTGTGGATTACGGAACGGGAGGTCTGAACCTCTCAACAGGATCTGGCTTGAAATCAGAGGTAGATTCAGCTGTTTCCGGGGGATCTGGGTCGGGGTCAGGAACACCCTCCAATATCGAAACTCAAAAACCAAAGGTTGAGGATGAGGAGGAGCTATGATGATGGCGGAATCCTCGATTTTTCGATCTATCTTACAGACTTCAGCGGACAAGTCTATTCATTGAATTACGAAAGAAAACGACAAAAAATGACGGCTTTGCTCCAAACATAAAGCAGCCGTTGGGTGTCGACATGGACAGCCTCAGCAGCTTGGACATAGACTGATGGACCAGTTTTTCGGTTTGACCGGCACGAGTATTGACAACACAAGATATAAAATTTTCACTATGAAGTTTATGTGGTGTATTGGCGAAGGTTAAGGAAGTATCGGATGCTCCTAAGATTTGGGAAGCAAGTGGCTCATGTTGTATCGAGGCGGCCTGTCATTTCTTGGTTCAGGAAAAGCCACTCTTGGTCTTGAGGAGGCATGGGTGGGTTACTTACTAGAGGTTAGAAGGTCCTACAATCGAGTAGTCTGAGCCTGCAGAAGGAATCAGTGGTCGGTGAATCGATTTAACTGTATGTGATATATCGTTGCTTGAACAATAGAAGGGCATTGCTTTACTTCATCCTTGCGGACCAGAGTAAATGACTATGTGCACCTGGACGAGATGGCAGTTTGGAGCTTTGAAATTGGAAGCAAAAACAGACTGGCCATAATCAGTACATTCACGCAGTAGGTATGCATGTCACCGATTCAAGGTTGGACCCGGTAACGAAATCAAGGTCAGAGTAATAATCAATTGATAGCATTCTATTATAGCTTCTAAGGAACAAGCAGACTCGACGAGTAAAAGGCTGGCAATGTAAATGGAACCTGACAATCTTGGTACCAATCGTTTACTAAACTTTTTGTCATGTTAGCGAAGTGCTTCTGACACGTTGGCTTTTGTGAAGAATGAATGAGAGTAAGACATGTCAGACTGTTGAGCTTGATAATTTTGAAATCAACATGGAGATTCAGTTGGCCGTTCTTAATGGAAGAGTTTGTCATCATGCAAAAAGGGGTGTGTTCAACGCGTCCAGTGTATGCGCTGGAGGCATCGAGACGTGTATTGTTGTGTCGTGTCATGTAAATGTACCTTACTGTTATTGGTTTGAAAGAACCCGCAGATATGTTATTCTGATGCTGCAGAGGGTATCTGCATATTCCCAAGAGCGTTGCCGCCTGAAAATGTCTGCGGGAACCAATTGTTGTTGGAAGCTGAATTGTTGTTGAAGACAAAGAAAGTTTTTCAAGAGTAGCTCCAGCGCAATTTTATTCGCAAGGCGGACCGGGGTATGGTCAATTATCGGCATATCCAAGCTCCATCCCGCCATTTATGCTTATAACGAAGCCGCACTGTATCGGCACAGCTCTGGACCCAATCTTCAGTGTATTTCAGCGGGCAGCAGTTCCATCATCGTTGACGTGTGTGCCTAATCTGCACTGTGCCCCCTCAACCCCACCATCCATTCGATCTCATCTCTCTCTTCCTTGCTCGCTTCCATTGCTTTTCCCTCGGGCAGACTTTGCGACGACCCAACGGTTCTCTACCTTAGTTAAAACCTTTCGATTCCCCCTTTCTAGACGCATCAGCGATTAAAACGACCAGGACAGGTCCCCATACTTCAAAATGGCCGGAAGTGAGTTTATACTGCTCTGGAATGGCTGTACGACGAGAGAATCTAACCGCGCACACTTCTAGACTTTGAGGAAGTTGCCAGTATGTTTGGAACCCTCCTGGACTGATTTACGAGTCCAACCCATACGAAAGTGACCAGATGCCTAACGGAAAACAAACAGAGCAGTTTGTTGAGTTCTACTACAACACCTTCGACAGTGATCGCAAGGGTCTCGCTGCTCTCTACGTAAGTGGCCCTTCAGCCCAACGACGAGAACTCGAGTAGAACCACCCGCTAACCCTGGTAATAGCGAGACCACTCTATGCTGACTTTCGAGTCTGCTTCCGTCCTTGGCACCCAGGCTATCACCGAGAAGCTTGCTGTATGCACCCCTTCGTCACCAGCGATTTCGAGTCGGCGTTGTTAACAATTTCTCCAACAGGGCCTCCCCTTTGAGAAGGTCAAGCACCAAGTCTCTACCCTCGATGCCCAGCCCTCCAACGACCAGGGCGGCGTCATTATCCTCATTACCGGTGCTCTCCTTGTATGTTTCCGACCATCCCACAACCTCCCGAAATGCGCCTACTAACAAATATTAGGTCGATGAGGAGCAGCGCCCCATGAACTTCAGCCAGTCTTTCCAGCTCGCCCGCGATGCGAATGGCCAGTACTTCGTCTACAACGACATCTTCAAGCTTGTCTTCGGTTAAACAAAAGCAGTTACACTGCCGGCCGACGCCTTTTGTTGTTTGAATGAGTTGAGCGATGTTTATAAACACACAAACACACCAAGTGGGGCGACAGACGAGGGGAAATTAAAGCGGCAATGGCAACGGAATAGCTTCTTTTTTTGACGATAAGATGAATTTAGAGAATGGCTTGAAGGGAACGCAAGTGTTTGAGTTGGCAGTGATTATCTTGGATTTCCTCTCGCCAATGAAGCTGAATCATTGTGTCTCAAAGCTATGAATGCTCAACCTCAGCTTGATGACATGGCAAATAGGGTCTTAAGTGATCAAGCCAAGATAAAGCCATCCAAAAATGATCAACGTGAATGTAAACGGCGCAACGACATGCGTCACCTATACTTGAGTATGGTCAAGGACCGCGATTGGCGTTATATCTTAAAAAATGAACAGCTTTAACGGCCACGGCCCGACTAATTTTTCAGCAGTAGAAATGGAAACACGCAACATGGCTTGCGTGCCAGCTCTGCCAACATCAATGCGAAACCCAGAATGCGCCTGCATGAGCACGCTGAAGGCATTCAATAAGACCAGAGCTGGGGATCCTTTTGACAAAACATTTAAATGGCAAAATATTCACTTTACGCTGAAGTCTTGTCCAAGAAGCAAGCTCATCATCTATTTTTAGGAGGGTCATAAGACTGGCCTCACTGGTCACTGCGAAGTGGGATGGGACGAAACGTAACCCGAGAAAAATCATTCATTTTCCATGCCCTGAACCGTGCAACACCGTTTGATCCCGAAATCGCAATGCATTGTGAGGGGTATAAACAAATAGCCTTAGATCTTGGTAGCAGCCTCAAGAGCCTTCTGCTTCTTGATGATCTTCATCTGAGCCTTGGGACCCATGATACCACCACCCCATTGTCGGCGGGCCTGGTCGTGCTTCTCAAGGTAGCCATCCTTGACAGCGGAGATGAGCTTGGAGAGCTCGTTCTTGTCCTCGGAGCGGACCTCGGTGATAGCGAGGACAGCAGCGGTCTGTGACTTGTTAGGCACGAACTTGAGCTCATGATTCCGATAAACATACCTTCTTGTGGACGACAGTTCCGAGACGGGCCTTGCCCTTGACAATGGCGTAAGGGATACCCATCTTCTTGCAGAGAGAAGGAAGGAAGACGACGAGCTCAATGGGCTCGACATCGTTGGGGATGAGGACGAGAGAAGCCTTCTTGTTCTCAATAAGGCCAACAACGTGGTTGAGACCGTACTTTACAGTGTAGGGCTTCTTGGAAACATCCTCCTTCTTCTTACCCTCCTTGACGGCGGTAGCCTCCTGGAGGAGACGCTCCTTCTTCTCGGCCTTGGTCTCAGGTCGGTACTTGTTGAGGAGCTTGAAGGCCTGGGCAGCAGTGTTGCGGTCGAGGACGTGCTGGAACTGAGCGAGAGCCGGGGGAACCTTCAGGCGCAACTGAAGGATCTTCTTCTGTCGCTGGAGGCGGACATACTCGGGCCACTTGACCATGCGAGAGACATTTCGCTTGGGCTGGATATCCTGGCCGATGCCGAAGTTGCGAGGTCGCTTCTCGAGGAGAGGGTTCTATGAACGTCAGCGATCTTCCCATCAGAGGAGACAGAAGAGAATCACTAACCTTAGCGGCCTTCTTGCCAGCCTTACCCTGAGGGAAAGGGGCGGGAGCGACCTTCTTGCCGGACTTGGGAGGCTGTCATTGAGAAAAGAAGACATCAGCAAGGCGTTCAAGCCAACAAAAGGTCTTCTCTGAACTCTAACGAGAATAGGCCGTGACATTTCTGCACACGCCGCATCTCCAGCCAAGTCTTCACCAGCTTCGACACCTGTTACAGTGATCGAATACTGGCGGAATACCAACAGCATATGTCGCCCACAACAAAGTGGACGACGCTGTGGCTCAATTGCACAATGAAGCGCATTTGACTCACAAAACTGTGGCCATTAGAGTCGAGTCGATTGTTTCATTCACTCACCATCTTGAATAGTTGGGGTTAGTAGTTGCTCGTGGGTTGAAGAGCAAAAGTCCAGGACACGATGGTGGATGGAGAACAAAGTCAAGAAGAAAAGCGAGGGTCAGTGCCTTTTTTGGTGAGAAAAATAATTAGGGCTTCTTTTTCTGTACCCACATTGAAAAAAAAGAGAACCCGACTCCACTGGCTGGAAGAGGCCTTACAGGGGGGAGAGGAGAGGAGAGGGGCTGGAGCTGATCGATCTTTTCACGACTAATGCAGTGCACGTGACCTTGACTCTCAGAGTCAGGCAAACATGCTCACTGCTTGAGTCAATGATTGGGAGGCAACATCTTGAGAAAGAAAAAAGAAAGCTAGAATCTGTAAACTCAAAGTAAATCCAAAAGACTTCCCCGACAGAACAACTAAACTCGTTCCACATAAAAGCTCCCGTCCTTGGATACGTCGTCCACTCACTTCCGTCCATATACACAATCACAAAGACCCAACCAGTTGAGACTCAGTTGAGACTTTCGAACTCCACTCACAGCAAAATGGCACCTACACCTTGCTTTCGGTGTCAGAACAACCGAGCTGTTGTGAAGCGACCCAAGAACCATCATAAGCTGTGCCGAGACTGCTTCATCAGAGTGTTCGAGGATGAAGTCCATCACACAATCACATCGTCAGACCTCTTCTTTCCCGGTGAAAGAGTTGCTATTGGTGCTTCAGGTGGCAAGGATTCAACAGTGCTGGCATCAGTAATGAAGACTCTGAACGAACGACATGACTATGGACTTGACCTAGTACTCTTGAGTGTCGACGAGGGCATCAAGGGATATCGGGACGATTCCCTAGAGACAGTCAAGCGAAATGCTGTTCAATACGACATGCCCCTGGAAATTGTTGGTTACGATGAACTGTACGGATGGACCATGGACCAAGTTGTCGAGACTATTGGAAAGAAGGGAAATTGCACATATTGTGGTGTTTTCAGACGACAGGCCCTCGACCGAGGAGCCAAGAAGCTGGCCATTCAGCATGTCGTCACTGGCCACAATGCTGACGACGTTGCCGAGACCGTTCTCATGAATCTATTGCGAGGTGACATGCCACGCTTGTCCCGAAGTACCAGTATTGTTACCGGAAACGCAAGCAGTGAGGTCAAGAGGAGCAAGCCTCTCAAGTATGCATACGAGAAGGAGATCGTGCTCTACGCACACCACAAGAAGCTGGACTACTTCAGCACGGAGTGTATCTACAGCCCCGAGGCTTTCAGAGGAACAGCACGTGGACTTATCAAGAACCTGGAGAAGGTGCGGCCAAGTGCAATTCTCGACATTGTACGAAGTGGAGAGGACATGGCTCGACTTACACCAGACAAGGGCCAAGCTGCGTGTGGTTGCGACGAAGGCGAGGGACTTGGAGGGTGCGGGTCAGCCAACGGGCGGACTTCTGGTAACGAGATGGCCCAGGTCGAGGCCAGCCTGAAGAAGAAGCACGAGTCGGCAGCTCTTGAGACAGAGATTACATCCAATGGAACACCCAAGGACGACGCAGTTCCCTTGCCAGTAAGGACTAAGAAGCAAAAGGAGACACCTGCACCAAAACAGAACCTAGGGAAGTGTGTTAAGTGTGGTTACATGTCGAGTCAGACCATGTGCCAGGCTTGCACATTATTGGAGGGTCTGAATAAGAATAGAGCAGAGATAGCGATATAATGGATACCCTTGCTATCAAGACCAGTGTTTCTCTCGTTCCATTAACCCATGACACGAACAAGAGACTTTGTTTGAAATTGCTTTATTCTTTCTCTTAGCCACTGTCCATCTGTCTCATAGGCTCCAATGCCTTGCCACTAGTATCCCAGATATATGTATTTACAATTGCAGTTTTGGGCTGTCTCTGGTTATCTGCCCTCGGTTCCATATGCTGTTTAAGAAAAGCGCGTCTCCAACTGTTTAATCGAATTAATACTTGCATCGCCGGTTGAATAGAGAAACAAACCTTCCAAGGGTTGTTCAGCTCGAATCCTAAAGGCGCTTCTGGTTTGTCTGTTTGCCCTCGTAGAGTTCCCGTAAGTCGGCGATCACGATCCATCACTGTTCAATTCGTTAGTATCCTCGAGTTATCGTTCAGCTGGACATATCGTACTTTGCTATAAACTAATTAGTACTGTCGATATGATACTATCGAGTCCCCGTAACTTACTCTATCCCATTGATCCACGGAGTAACGAGGTCGTTTGCCCTCGTTCTGCCAGTTCTTGACGACGGCAAGACCAGTACCAGAGATACCGAACATCTATTAATCATCAATGAGCTTCGGTGTCGTGCGGTAGCGAGGTCGGACAGTGACATACACCAATCATGATGGCATAGGGAAGAAGAGCCTCAAAAGGGACGGGCATCGTGACGGCGGCGCTGCCTGGGCAGACTCGAAGGTATTCGGCGTATTTATCGGAGAACGAGAGTTCGAATTGACCAGGCCTGACCTATCTTCCGGGTTCGTCGCGGTGGTCGTGAGTCTACCGAGTAAACGGGCCTTGAATTGAAGCTCACGTCGAACCGAGCCATTGACGACTCAGCGATTGGTGATGCAGATTTTCGGTGCCTGAGGCCAGAAGCTCCATAACTATCCCTGCGTCGTGGTACAGTAACTGAGGGGACCTGTCGCACAGTGTGCTACCAAGCTCCATAACAGTAGAAGCGTGCCTTGCTAGCTTGCTTATTAGCAAGAGAACAGAAGAAAAGGAGGAGCAAACTCTTGGTTCTTTATTGGCAATGATTCAACGCTCTCAAGACATTTGAAAACCGAATTGAAGTAAAGGAATCATTTAATTTACTTCCTTGTACTTGTATAACATACTAAAACTATCAGTCCTTCAATATTCCGCCGATAACCATTCTCGCTTTTACCATTCCGGACTTTTCTCTCTCCCCTGGAGGGGCTCCCTAAGTTGGTAGCTGTCGCACGCACTGTGGCAACTAGCTCCCGCGACTGCTGTTTGATATCACACAAGTTGACGCGACGTGATTCAGCGGCTTTCCTATCGCATCTCTGCGATATCTAGACTCTCTACGAACGCGTGGTTCAAATCAACTTGGGCGTGTCAATTCACTCCTAAATTTTCGTTCAAGTAATCAGTACTGCGCATTCGCTCCCGGCCGTCCCTCGATGCAAGCCCGCGTACCGCGATGAAGCAGACGTGACCGCACTGCGAGAAACCCTTCGCAACCTACCGAAAGCGACCGATATGCAAACTCGAGGCTCTCGTTTCAGGATATTTTCTTTTGGGACGCGGGGGTAACCATGGCAGGCGCACAAACTATGGCTCAAGAGCTTCCACATAGCGTCATGGTTTCCGACGAGGATGCTGAATATGAGACGGCAGGCGAAACAGGAGGCGAAACGACAAAGACAGTCGCATCTAGGTCAAACGGAAGCAAAGGAAGCTCTGGTACGAATCAAGCTCCGGCAGAGGATGGCGATGCCGAGTTCGACGACCACGATGCATCTGGCGAGGATGTAGACGCATCTGGAGAGGAGGACAACGACTATATGGCACCTCCGCAGACATCTTCTCACGGCAGTGTTGGACCTCCCCAAAATGGCGATGAGGAAGATCATGAAAATGTTGAAGGAGATGAGCAACATGAAGAAGACGACGTAGATGCCGAGGAGGATGAAGATGTCGATGCTGAAGGGGAAGACTATGAGGAAGACGAAGGCGTTGGTGCCGTCAAGTTTCAACCAGGGACAAGAAGCGACGAAGAAGATGACAGCGAGAGTGATAAATCCGAATCACCAAGCGCTAACGACGAAGAGTCAGACGAGGAGGCTGCATGGGATGATGCTGCAGAGGCCGAGGAAGATCATGAAGATGAAGAGACGGCCGCCTCAAGCAACTGCATCTTCTGTGGCCATAACGAGGACGAAGACCCCAGCGAGGAGTTTGAGGTTTATTTGGCCTGCATCCGTTGTGGTGGTAATGGTAAGTTCACCTACCACATCAGTATATATTCTTTTTTGGAAACTTACCAAGTGCAGCTCACCAACAATGCGCGCGCGATGTGGCTGCAATGAGTGCGGAGAACAGTAAGTTTCAATGTGTAAGCACAGTTTGGCAAATGCTGACAATACCAGCACCCGAAAGTTGGAAATGCCCTGAATGCTTCAGCAAAGAATCCGACTTGGGGAGTGAAGATGAGGAGATGGAGGATCACGATGTTGACCACAATGCCGAGATTCGCTCCCAACAGTCTGATGTACTGGAGGTACCAGGACAGCATGAGTCTGGTCAGCACGTGAACGATGACGAAGATGCCAGCTCCCAAAGCGACAATGACAGTGAGCTTGACGAAGAGCCTATTGACGCCCCTCGCAGCTTGAGAAAACGCAAATCTTCATCACTAGAAGATGACGGAAATGGACTTTCGCTGAGGAAACGACGACGAAACCAGTCCCAAGACGCAAGGTCAGAGAGCACAGCACGAAATGGAAGTGCTGAACCAGGGCGACACCACCCTCCCAGAACTGTGCGTCTCAAGGTTCCACGACCCCCACCCGTCTCAATAGAGAAACGTACTCGTACCTCACTTGTACTTAAACTTCATGTCAAGCCTGGCAATCTTAAGGAAATCTTATCTCGCAAAAAGCGAGAAAAGAGAAGGCGGCCAGGCAGTGCCACGCGCCCGACCCCTCAACGACAAGCCCTGGCTGCGACTCCAGCTCCAGTTGCCAGAGCCAGCCTTACTGCTGCAACTATATCTAACCTTCCCACGCCTTTTACATCGGACAACTACTCACAACCATTTTATTCCTTCTATGACCGCGAGGCCGATGAGATGAAGGGCAAGCCTTATGGCGGCATACTGACCGAGGTCGAGGCCGACACATCCAAGACTCTCCCTGATGAGGATGATCGAAATAAGTTCACCTCTACTCTAAAGAAAGCCGAGGATGACTGGAGAGCGCGTCTTCTGCAGGCCATGCAAGAAGACCCTAATCCCCCAACCCGAAAGTCGAAAAAGTCCGGCAACAACGGCAGCGAGATCGAATGCATCGATTTTGGCGGCTGGGAGATCGATACTTGGTATGCTGCGCCGTATCCTGCCGAATACAGCATTAACCGCGTGCTGTACATTTGCGAGTTCTGTCTGAAGTACATGAACTCTGACTACGTTGCTTGGAGGCACAAACTCAAATGCCCAGCCAAGCATCCACCAGGAGACGAGATCTATCGTCATGGATCAGTCTCGGTTTTCGAAGTCGACGGTCGCAAGAATCCGGTCTACTGCCAGAATCTGTGCCTTCTTGCCAAGCTGTTCCTGGGTTCGAAAACTTTGTATTACGACGTTGAACCCTTCCTTTTCTATGTTTTATGCGAATACAACGAGACAGGTTACCACTTTGTGGGATACTTTTCCAAAGAAAAGAGGGCTAGTAGCCAGAACAACGTCTCGTGTATTCTGACGTTGCCAATACACCAACGAAAAGGGTACGGCAACTTGCTTATAGACTTTTCCTACTTACTCACCAAAGTGGAGGAGAAGACGGGCTCTCCCGAGAAACCTCTCTCTGATATGGGCCTGGTCTCATATCGTAATTACTGGCGACTGGTTCTGTGTCGATACTTTTTGAAGCTGATGGAGGATGAAAAACACGCAGCAGAAGGACTCAGTATAAAACGGATATCCGCCAATACCGGCATGACACCGGACGATGTCATTTCTGCTTTGGAAGGTCTCAGGGCCCTTGTCAGAGATCCGCAGACCAAGCTGTATGCCTTCAGAGTCGATTTGGATTACTGCCGAGAATACGTGGGAAAGTGGGAAGCCAAGGGTTATGTTCAGTTGAAACCCGAAGCTCTCGTTTGGACTCCGTATGTGATGGGTCGAACCAATGCCGTCAACTTTGAACTCGGCCCACCGATCAATACCATCGCGCCAAGGGAAGACGACGAGGCCAAGATTGACGAGGGAAATGGCGCGGCTGCCATCGAGGATCATCAGCCAATGGTCAATGGGGAGAAGCACGACGCGTCTGCCCCTGAAGCAGTCGCAGATGCAGACGGTGATGCTCCAATGAATATCAATGGAGAACAACCCCAGGAGTCTCCAGCCGAGACCCACAGTGCGGAGCCAGTGCCAGTCCAGTCTATCGAAGATGTCGCGCCTGGGCAAGAGAAAGATAAGGACATTGAAATGGAAGATGCAAAGGCCGCAGGCCCCCCGGCTTGGCTACTACCATACCAGAACATCCCGTTCACCCGCTTTGAAGTCTTTCCTGCAGTACCTGGTGGTCGACGGGAAAGAGCTCGACCAAGTGTCAGTCGACCGACTGCCCCTCGCCCAGTCAGTGCTCCTAGACCGAAACGACCCAGCAACAGCCATCGACCATCCTCGTCCCGGCCTAAGAGTTCAAAGAAAAAGACTGGAGGGACCGGTCGTGGACCAGGTAGATGGCCAAAGGGAACGAAGAAATCCGATTACGGTAACGCTACCAGTGGCCCTGGTCTACCGCCCGGCTGGGTCGATCGCCAAGTCAAATTGCAAGGTGTCACAGAAGGCAAGGGGCCAGAACAGGAGGTGGCAGTTCTCGACTCAGTAGCAGAAGACTCGGTCGTTGTCTCGACGAAGACAAATGGTGCCAAAGTTAACGGGATCACTGCAAATAAGGTGGGAGCGGGATCAACGGAAGAGGCTGCTAAAGGAGAGGACGTGGATGCTGAGGGAGAGGATATATAATTTTATTGAAAGCGGTCGATTACAGGAAGGCTTGGGGTTACGGATGTACTATATACCTTGGTCAGGATCGGCGTGGGTTGCTTTATTGGCTTGATCTCGCCAGAGACAGGGGTCGTTGTTTGTAGCGAGCACATTGTTATTGAAATACTAGACAAGACAGGTCACGGAACGGAATCATGCTTCTTGGAGGTTAAAGGCATGAGGAGCAGGACCAGGAACGGGACTAGGACTGGGACTAGGAATAGGAATAAGATTATGATTTTTATTTAACAAAGGAAATTTATATTAGCGAGTGTCTGTCTATGAATGCTGAGCGAGAGAAAGAGAGAGAAGTACATGACTTACCTATTGGTAGTTTATGCTTTGGTTGGTATGATTGTAGCCTCAACAGGTTTGCCAAAGACGTCGAGCGCCTTTGACTGCAGCAGCCCAAGGTATGCTTTATACATACGTTGGAACTCTGCTTTCTCGAGGGTTCCTTCGATTGAACACTTTGCGAAGCCATGGTGTGTTATTTTCTCGGACAGTTTGACTACTGACCTACCACAGATGAAGGTGTTCTTACCAGGCCAATCTTGACTTCGGATAGCCATGAGCGGTTCGTGGGGGGTATCGCCTTTTTCAGGCTCCTCGTCGTCAATATCACGAATGTCCATGTACTCGTCTACCATGCCTCCACGGTTCTCAAGACCTTTGCCGTTGTAACTGTAGATGGGCAGGCAAACGGCATGATCTCCCCAGATCTCGATGGTGATCATCTTGCGGTACTTGGAGTAGATGGGGCCGAAGCCAGAGACTGCCGTGTGATAGTTGGTCGTTGAAACCTTGTCATCGCGGTTCTGGCTGTGGAAAGGGGCCGAGATGATGGTACCAGGCCTGAGTTGGTTGAGTTTGTGCCTCTGGTCGGTTGGGCGCATGTGGACGCTGACAGTCTCTCCCAGGCTCAGATCCAGATGGGCCTGGTGAACCCCGTAAAACGTTTGGCCGTTCTGTCCCCTGTCTTTTGTTAGCGTACATCGTCTGAGATACGCAACGTCGCCTGAAAGGTTAGAAGAAACCGAGCTTCTCACGGAGGAAGTAGAGCGCATTGGCATGGCGCCTGAGTCTCGACGACGATCTCGTCGATAAGACGCAGGTTCTCGGGGAGCCTTTCCCGTAGGACAAGACGTAGGAAGCTCGTTTTTGTTTGAGTGAGATTGGGTGTAGAACTTGGCAGCCAGGTTACGAAGCTGCCAGCTACAGTCCTTACAATTCCAGTCGTCGGCCGCGGAGTTGAGTGAAGACATGAGAAACGAAACAGAGTCCTTCTGCTCAACGTGAAGCCATGTATCCTCCTGTTGACTGTTTGGTCGGCTACTTGAGGTAGCTGAGAAGTGTGTGTGAGCAAAGATATTATTAGTATCGAATTTCTCAAACCGGCGACTAGTGTTGATGTTCAATGACGGTTTGAGGTTTTTGTTCTGCACGAGACCTCTACTACGAGGATAGGGCTTTCGAATGCGGTGATCGTTGTTGAATGAAGGCATTTTGATGAGTTTGTTTCCTGTATATCTGGAATGCTTGGTGATTAAAACCGGTTATTGAAGCTGAAGTTGCAAAAGTGCATGTGATTTGATAGTTGTTGATATTGTCGTTAAAGGGAAGACAGACTGTGATTATATACCTGGCTAGCTGTGCCATCTGTCGAGGTTTTCTTTCTAGAGTTGCAGGCAAGTCTCATGTTGTTCAGTCAGACAGGATATATCTGAGATATGTTGTTCGACATGGCGTTTACGAACAAAGGATAGATCACCGAACAACCCTTTGTCTAGAAGGCGAACTGATCATTAAGAAGCCCTGAACAGATGCTTAGAATACGTATCAGTTCTTAGGAACTGGTATTTCTGGTGATGTATTCTGTCATAGGCTTGAGTGAACACTCATGGTTCATTTGCTGTAAGTTGACGTAAGCCTTGAGCTATATCGATAACCTGATTCCCTCCGATATACAAATCTATTGTCGTATCTTAGAGATACATTTTATATGGTCTCTTGTTCATGATTTTACTATTGCTCAATGGCCCTGGCTCTTATTGAGGTTCGAGTTGGCTAGTGTCGTGGGGTAGACCAACTTGGACCTTTCAACTTCATGTAAGCAAAGGCAGCAATAATGTCACATCGAAGTAGAGGCTGTCTTCGCTGCCGCCAACGACGAGTCAAGGTATTTAACAAGTTTATTATTCTTTCAAGTGAGCTTCAATCTAATGATCCTAGTGCGACCGCAGTCGCCCTTCATGTCAACGCTGTATCGCCCGCAATGAGCTGTGTGTAGGGTATCGAGATGAAGGCGACCTCATGTTCCAACACGAAACTGCAAAAGTCGTCCTGAAGAGTCAAACTTGTACTCCTTCCAAATCGTCTCGCTCTAACAGCTCAAAATCTCCTCGAGATAATCGCACAAGGAGTCGATCAGTTGAGCGTGCCTCTGAGAGCTCGTTCTCTTCAACTGCTTCTATCAATCTTCCAGCAGCATTTCCATGGTTAAAGGACCAGTCCAAGACAGAGCCCGTTTCCAAGGATGAACAAATAGCGAACATATTCATGGACAAATATGTGCTGCTTCCTTGTAACGAGTCATCATCCCCTGGCTTTCTCGAGCATCTCCCTTGTTTGTTCAAAGAGGTCAATGTCGAGGGCCGCTACGCATTGAGATTCGCTGTTCAAGCATGTGCTTTCGCAGACCTTTCTCGTGAACAAAGCTCAGAAGAATTAGTCAAGAGGTCACTAGAGTGCTATGGCTTTGCTCTCAGTGCCCTTGGACTATCTTTGGCTGAAAAGAACAAGACACCAGATGATTACGATTTGATGACAGTGGTGATGCTGGATATATTCGAGGTGAATGCACTGCACAACTACACTCAATCTACGAGCTTATACTCTTACAGACACTATTTATGCCTGACTCGCCGACAGCTGGTGCGCACGCCCAAGGTATGGCACATATTTTACGACTGCGTGGCCATGAGCAATTCCATGACCCCCGTGGCTGGGGCCTGTTCCGTTTAGCTCACCACAGACTGGTAAGAAAAACTGATTCTCCCATGTAAATACTGGACTCACAATTTGAAGCAAAAACAGCAACTGGCTAAGCAATTTAATCCTCTACCTGAGTCGCAAGATTGGCTCGACAAGTTGAACGACGATATTGCTTCGGTAAAGCTAGAGAAGGACAGTCTAGCAATCAACCAAGTGTGTCAGAAGGCAAATCATCTACTGAATTCTATCGATTCTGGAGATGTTGAGGCACACAAGTTGTTAGGCCTGGTTGACGCGATGTTTCGCCTGGATCAAGAGGCTGCTAGTTGGCGAAAGAAACCAGAATGGAGATTTCAGACTAGGAACCGTCAGGAAATACTCGATAACAGAGAGTCCAACTTCTGGCTGCCAGAGTATATCCAGCTTCATCCAGACTTATGGATGGCATACGAGTGGAATTATCACCGTACTGCACGCATCATTCTCCTTCAGAAGCTGGTAGCTTGCTTGGAAAAGGTCAAGGGTGCACTGCCATCAGACCCTAGGATTAAAACTAGGATCACAGAATCAGTCAACACTATACAATCTTTGGCTGGCGAGGTCCTGGCAACTGTTCCCCAATCCTTGGGCGACATCGATCACCTTGGCCAGTGGCACGCGGGGTCAAAGACGGCTCGTTGGCAGGCCGTTGGTGCTTACCTTTTGCTTTGGCCGATGAAGATCATGAAAAGCCAGAGCGCCTTGACTACGGATTCACAGAAAGCGGATGCACAGCGAGTGTTTGATAGGATTAGAGAGTGTACAGGCATCAAGTCAAGCTTGGGTGTTCTATCCGAGATCTAATGTTATGAAGACACAAAGACACAAAGACACAAAGCTCACAATAGTACACTGCCTTGGACTATGTCATCAGAACACAGTCTCCTCCAATTCCGTCCCATCCTTGAGAGTAATGGTTTCAGCACCAATCATGACAAAAATGATCTGACAAGAAACGTCGCCTCTATTCTCCCAGCTGTGATTCACACCCTGTTGAACGATGACCTCTCCTTGCTTGACAGTCTTTTCCTCTCCACCATCGAGCCCCAGGACGATCTCGCCCGACAGGACCACAGCGTAGTCAAGGCTTTTGGTACGGTGCATAGGTGCTTTGCCACCGGGCTGGATCTGAGTCATGCAGAAGAGGGAGCCCTTTGGAGGACATCTCGGAAGAGAGTTCTCAAATGATGGGACAGAGTCTGTGTTGTTGATGGGGACGCTTTGACGGACGTCGAAGATATTGAAGCCACTGCCTCCAGGGCCAAAGGGCTGAAAGGGTGCGACATTTGTGTCAGGGACAAAGATGGAGGTTCCGTCCTCGTTGTGTGTAGTTCGTACAAGACGGGGAGAAGAGTTTGAGGGTTGAGAGGTCATGGTTGATGATATAGGTTAATGCTTGGTGTGTTTATTCCGTGTAAGTGAAGATCTTGTATAAGGATGGATATGGGAAGATGAAGATGAAGATGAAGATGAAGATGAAGATGAAGATGAAGATGAAGATGAAGATGAAGATGAAGATGAAGATGAAGATGAAGATGAAGATGAAGATGAAGATGAAAAGACTAAAAGAGAGCAACAGCCCTATTTATACATATTCGTAGGTATATTCGGCCTCTAGAGAGCGCGAGCGTCAGACACAATTAGCTTGCTTGATCCTTTGGTTGTTAGTCATCGTCAGCCTCAACCTCAACATCAGCTTCAACTATACAAGGTTCCTCGCGCCGCTTTCCCGATTAGGAAACACCCACGACTGGCGATGCTACAGTGAAGATGTACATAATGTAAGCAGAGTCACACTAACAAAACAAAACAGAATACAACATTTGGCTTATAAATAAATATAGGCGAGCAAGTCACTCAAGAGCTAATTAGAAGCACACAATAGTAAAACCAATTATTTTAACTAATGCCTTGTAGCTATGCACCTAATAATAGACACTCAAAGCGCTACAAGCGGTGATAAACCAAGAGTCAAGGTTACATAGAATGCCTCATAACCTGGGCATCTATCTCGCTAAATGATAATCAAGCTCACTTTGGAGCCCGTTGAGAGACGTCGATGGCTGATCTACATTCTCGAGGGAGATCCTCCCGCCGTTCTCAGTCCAGTGACAACCCTCGGGGGAGGGGGCAAGAAAACAGCGAACCTCAATATAGGGTACTAAAATAAACTCCTTAAAAGTTATCCTAAGCTTAGACTATATTACCTAAGTCTTTTTATTATTTAGGGTCGAGGTTCTGTGTTTTCTTTCCTTAGGGCCCATCTTGTGCGAAAGAATCCTCAGCTCCAAGTCATCTTGATGAGCCAGGAACCATTCGTCTTCCGCAGACGGTGTGACACTCTTTGGGTACCTGAAGGGGACGTAGCAAAAGTACACCGTAGATACTGTTTGAGCGATAAGAAACCACGCAATGAAAACGATGGGGCAGCCGAGGAGGGTAATGATGGCGGAGAGGTAGAATTGGACTGCCATGAGGAGAAAGGCCATTCCGCTGGTGGTACGTGTTGCTCTTTGGGGTCTCCTATACGCAGCCTTTGTATCTGAGACGAAAGATTCAGCCCAAGTACTATATATCATAAAAGTAGCTCTTACATGGGGTGGTGTCATTGTGGGTTGGTAATAACGCACACAATAACTGAACCTATCTCCATCTCCAAGTGCACATCATGACGCGGCTTCACTGCCAACTCACTCCCCATCGTCTTCCTCATCACGATAGGCATACTCCTCTTCCTCCGCTTTCCTCTCCCCCCAAAAGCCTTTACCGTAACTGACAAGAATCTCTTCCCCCTTCTTGATCCCTACTCCCTTCTTCTTATTCTTCTTGCCACCTCCGAGCACCCAAACTCCCACGCAAAACTCTCCCCATCGCTCGCACCAGACCGTCCTAAACTCCGCATTCGCCCTCTCTCCCACGCCTCTAAAGTCGTTCACGAAACGCCCTTCGTTTCCCTCATTCGCTGCATCAACAGCTGCGTCAAGCTCTCGGTCCAGCCACAAGTCGTAGTCGCTCTCTGTTGAAGATGCTGAGCCTGAGTGCACCCGGCCGAGATACGCGAGGATGAAGCTACCAGGTGCGAGATTCTGGGCCGCAAAGAGACCGCTTTGGCCGTTTGCTGGGTGTGACGGCTCAGATATAGGCTGGATCTTGACCAGGCTGCACGGTGTTGTTGTCGCCGGCGATGGGATGACTGGAATGCCACTTGAAGCAGAGGGTTTGTTTCTAAGAGCTTGTATGTGCGTTGCCGTGAGACTCTTGTCATGAAGAGGCGCCTTGAGATACGGGAAGCCATCTGGCCAATTCTTTGGCTTAGACATGATGAGGCCTATGAACACGTGATGCAAGATGGACACTAAGTGAATGAATCATTGAATGAATGGCATTCACCATCAGCTTTGCTTTGTAGTGGCCGAAACTCCCAATGAGGTTGATGATCCACTGACCCCACGCATAAATAAATACATCTAGGTCTGCCACAGTAAAGTCACCACTCACTCAGCAACAATATCACAGTAACACAAAAGATCCCAAAATGCAATTGTTTCCTTATTACCAACGCTCCATGCAACTATCTAGACTAATTCTACAAGTCGATCTCATGAGACCATAAACCAAGGCCCGCCCTGCTCGAGCATCACGCCCTCAAGACACGCCTACTCCTTTTTAGTACTTCCACCTGCATTACTAGACTATCGTATAACCACTCCAATATGGCATTAATCCTATACTGCTAACGTCCACGTCCTTCTAGTGAGACATAACTTCCCGGTATCGGTCCATGCTCAAGTCCACTGAGTAAGCCAACAGACGATCTTGTGTCAAAGGCAGGTTGAGAATCCTGGACCTTAACTCCATATCCTGCAATGCACAGTTAGTAATTGTTTCAACCTTGCGTTCCATCTGCAGAAAACATACCTGTTTCTTCTTGCTGGCTTTAACAATCTCCTTAGCAGTCTCATCTGCCATGTCCGACACGGCAGCGTACCCCAGGACTCCAGAATCCCCTGTTTCCTTGTCCATTGCGTGCAGACCTGCAAGAAGCTTCTCCAAGACTGCCTGTGGTGCAATCTCATGCCTCGCGCGATACTGAACCAGTTGCAGGAAGAAGCTGTAGATCTCTCCTCCAAGCGGCCAGTCCGAGATGACCTCCTGTCGGCCTTCAAACTGGGAGAGAAGAGAAGACAGGTCCTCATAGTCGCGTTCAACAATGGCTAGTGGTGCAACCTCCTTAACCAGAACACGGTGAGCTTCCACAAAAGAGCCGGCACGCAGGAGGCATTGCACTTCTGAGTACGCATCTTTCTTCACGCTGCGCATGTACAGAGCCAGGGCCTCCCAGATCCACAACGAAGGGATTTGAAATTTTTCGATAAGTACCTGGAAAGCAGAAGAGTTTTCATCGCCGATGAGGCCTGCATGTCGGGCAAGATGCTCCTGGATAGCCATCTTGCGGGCGAGGGGCTTGCTCAGATGCAGCAAAACGAACACTGCCTCGAGCCATTCACCGGCGCTTGTTAGTTGCGAGGCAAAAGCAAGAGTAGCGGCATCGGCCTTTTCAGCGCCATCCTGACCGAAAGAAACCTTGCCACTAGATACAAGCGCAAGACCGAGTTGCCAAGTCAGCCGCATGTCGAGCGGAGAGAGCTGCGAGTTTTCAGGGCGCACCACAGCCTCCAGGTCGGCGCTGCCATTGGCGTATAACTGTAGAAGACCCCAGAGAAGATCTTGCCGCCGGTCGGAGTCGACATCATCCCACAAGGGCTTGATACCCTGATCAATATACCCAGGCAACGGAAGGTACTCCTTCTCCTGGTCAACGTCATTCTTGAAACTATGCACTGCAGCTGCTAGGTCGTCCTGCTGAGCGATCGAGTACCACAGTCGGAGACCAAAGGCCTGCTTCCAGTCGAGTCCAAACTTTTTCGAAATAACAAACGAGTCTAGGCGGTCCTCAACAGGCACCCCCTTCATACCTTCGCAGACACATGCATTGCCCGAAAGGAGCTCGTAGATGGTACGGATCGATTCTGAGAATTCCGACAGCATCTTTGAATCGTGCCATGCCTTGAGCTGTTCTCGCATGTCTTTCTTGGCAGCATCACTGGTGCCAATCAGAGGCACCAAGGTGGCCAGGTGGAAGTTCTTTCCGTCCAGGAGGTGCTTGCAAGCGTCGATGATCCGATGGCCAGCCAGGCATGCAACAGCCTTCTCTTCGCTCGATCCTGCCAGGCCGATAGTTGTAGCCGAGGCCGAGTCTACAAGGAGAGACCAGAATTGCGACAGCTTGTTCCTGCGCAGAAGATGCTCCGGTTGACTATTGTCGTTGACCGAGTCGAAAAGGATACTGGCCAACTCCCAGACATGCTTCTCCTGCATGCTTGCGGGGTCATTCATGTCCTGTTGGTGGAAGACATCCTGCAAGTGTGTAACGTTGAGGGAGGCGAAAGGAACATCATCAGCTATTCGGATTTCAGTGAGCTTATCTTGGTTGCCCAGGTATCGCTTGGATTGCTATATAACGAGTTAGCATATGTCTGGAGGTCGATGCTCAATAACTAACCTCCATTGCGAATGAGGCTAGGCGGAGCTCTTGCTTGTCAGTCTGAATCGAACAGCGTTGAAAAGAAACAAGGTCGGTATTATGGGTGAGAAATCGTCGGCTGCCTCCTAAAACCAGTGGGCGAGGAACAACAAGAGTCTCGTCAGGACCCCAGGTAGGTCGGCCAGCATCGTGGAAAGTCTTTTCGTAACCGTCCAAAGTCATTGTCTTGTCTTGTCGCTCGTAGGGCCACTAATCAAAATCAATTTTAGCTTCAATTCATATACTACAAGTCAATAGATACATAAACCTCCAGGATTTACATTCTGGGGCCACTCAGGTAACAACTAGGGAACCGACCTTGGGAAAGCCTTTGCCAGAGACTGAGGCTTGAAGTTTCTGGGACGCTGGCTTGGGCTTCTCAAACAATGAGTTCATGAGGTCGATGCTAGTCGCAAACCCACGGCCTTTATCCATGCCAATGGTGCTTGCCGCGAAATTGTCCAGCCTATCGTTCTTTGCAATACTCTTCCTCCAAATGGATGATTTCCGTAAAGTGTCAGATCCGCTCTTATCAAGGTCGATCAGCACACCCGTCTGTCTTGAGGGAGAGTCATTCAGTTCTCTCAAAAGCTGTCGGTCTCGCTTGACTGGGCTGACAGTCTTTCTCAACATCTCCATCCAATCGTCCCCGTCAGCAACCTCCAGCTGTACAGGACCAGCAGAGTCCTTAACAGCTCGCATTCTAGCTCTGAGGATGCCTCCAGGAGTCGCCTTTACGGCTTCCGGAACACCCTCGGACGAGTTGTCGTCGAGCTCCGCGGCCAGATGCGGTTCGAGAGAAGACCTCGCCATGTCTTCATCCTCGGACACGTCATATTCATCACCCATATCATCGGCGTATTCCTCCTCGAGGGACAGCCTGACATCGTTGGGTGCGGAATCCGCGGAGCTAACCCCTAAAAAAGACTGCTCGCCAGGGAACTGGGGTTGTAGGGCTTGAGCTTCATCGTCAAAACCACCAGGAAGACCTCGATGCCTTCGAAACTCGAATGTGTCATCTTCCATGGGGGAGTTGAGAGAGTTGATGGAAGCATCGAGAGCCACCTCCTGGGGGGCGGCTGGCTCGTTCTGTGTCATCTCCTCATCGTCAGAATCATCGTCATCAAGACCATAAGTGGTAAAGTGCTCTACTGAGAAGACCCAGACACCAGTCTCCTTGTCGTAGCTCTCAAAGGTTGTGTTCTCGATTCGCTTGAGACGCTCAACGTGTTTGTTAAATCGCTTAGGGTCATTGGCGATACGCTTACCACCACGGGGCCACGACTGCTCGAGCGCAATTCTGGCGGGAACATTGAGGCCCTTGCCGACAGGCGGTTTCTTGGCAGATATCGGATAGACTGTAGCAGACCGAGGCTCAAGCACAATAAGAGTACCGCAGATTTCAGCCAGATCAATGTTGCTGATGTCTACAGGGACCTTGAAAGAAACATAACCAACGTTGTCACGACCGACAGTGAAACCATCAACCTTTTGGCGCTGCATGCGGTTCAACTTTTCGAGATCCCCCAAGGGAGGTGACGTCCAGTATTGTCCAGGAGCATTGTCAACGGTGCTGGTGGATGAAGCATCGGGAGTTGCAGTGTTGTCCTCCTCATGAACGATAGCCAGCTCGTTGCCCTTCACTTCTTCCATTTCAGGAGTCTTGGAGCCGGCCGAGCCGTTCGAGCCATTAGCTGTGCGGGTCTGGCGAGGGGTCTCGTCGTTGGCTGGGCTTTCAACGTCGCTAGCAGCAGAAAGAGCACCGCGAACAGGTGTGCTATCGTCCATGTCAACGTTGCTTGTGTCAAAGCTGACACGCTTGGAGAGCTTTCGGGAACCAGTTCCAGCATCTGAGGCTCTGTCCTTCTGCGGTGTTGAAAAGAGATCACTCCTGATGTCTCTGTTGATAACGAGCTTCTTGGAGCCAGTGCTTCCATACCACCTGGGCTGAGATCCATTAGAGAAAGCTCCGGGGGCAAGAATACTGTCTTCGGTGTTGAAGCTGCGCCGCAGGTTGTTGGTCGACAGGCTTTTACTGAGATTTCCAGATCGGCTAGAGCCTAGCAAACTGTGACCGAGGTTTCCAGGTGTGCTGGAAATGCTACTCGCGGGGCTGCCCGAGGGGGTTCCGTAGTTGCTGTAAGAAAAGCCGAAGCCTCGCTTTTGAGGAGTAGCATATCGAGAAGCAGAGGCCGGAGCCAACTTATACATAGGCAGAATCGAGCTTCTTCTTGGCTTTGAACCACCACTCAGTGGAGTAGCCAGGGGACCGGGGTTCTGGACTTCATTTCCACCGAGGCCAGCAAACAGACCAGGAGAACCGAATGCCGACACGTCGTTTAAGTTGGCAGTCAAACCCTGAGGGGCATTGACGGACTGGCTGTTACCCAGGATTGAAGCTCCATTCTGTTGCTGTTGCTGGTTTGTGCTGCCACCAAACAGGGAAGATCCAGCGTTCTGGTTGTTTTGGCCGCCAAAGAGACTGCTTCCAGCATTGTTGGTGCTGCCACCGAACAGACCGGGCTTTTGCTGCTGGTTATTTGCAGCACCGAAGAGGCCGCCGGTATTTTGGCCCATCTGAGTATTTGAGGTCAACCCACCGCCAAAGCCAGTTCCGGCTGTGTTCGTTTGAGCTGCGGTACTGCTTCCGAAAAGGCCACCAGTTGGGGCAGGCTTGCTACCGAACAGACCACCTGTCGCATTATTGTTGGCAGCACCAAAGCCAGTCGTATTCGTCTGCTGTTGATTGTTGCCAAATAGGCCACCACTGGTACCAGCTGCGCCAGTGTTTGTGTTGCCAAATAAGCCAGTACCAGCAGGCTTCTGTTGGTTGTTGCCGCCAAACAATCCGCCCGACTGCTGAGTCTGGTTGCTCTGGCCAAAGAGGCCGCCACCGGTGTTTTGCTGTGCCTGGTTGTTGTTCTGTCCAAAGAGACCACCACCAGTGCCGGCAGCTTGTGTATTATTGCCGCCAAAGAGGCCACCGCCGCTGTTTGCGGTGTTGTTGTTTGCGCCGAACGCGTTATTTGTGGTGCTGGCTCCAAATCCACCCGTAGTGCCGGTATTCGTGCTTCCGAAGCTGAAGCCAGTACTGGCAGGCTTGTTCTGAGCGGCTCCGAACAGTCCACCACCGGTGTTCGTGTTTGTCTGACCAAAGCCAGTTCCGGTGGTGTTCGTGCTACCAAAGCCACCCGTAGTGTTGGTGTTTCCTCCTCCAAAAAGGCCGCCGCCAGTCTGGTTCGTCTGTGTGGTGGTGCTGCCGAATAGGCCTCCGGCAGGTTTGTTCGTAGTGCTGCCAAATAAGCCTCCGCTGGCGGTATTGTTGTTGGTTGCTCCAAAACCAGTCGAGCCAAAGCCAGTGCTGGGTGTTGAGGTGTTGTTCGTGTTGGATCCGAAAAGACCACCACCAGTGTTGGCCGTCGTGTTCGCCCCAAAGCCTGAAGCTGCGGTTGTATTTGTGTTAGTTCCAAACCCTCCGCCAAAACCTGAGCTCACACCAAACGCACCACCACCAGTAGCATTGCCATGTCGCCTTCCTTGGACGTAATCGGCAAGTCGAAGTTCGTCGGCCGACCACTTCTTGTAAGGATCTTGGAAAAGGATGTTTTGGTAAGAGTTGGTCGAGGTACTATTGGCTTCCTTTTCGCTCCATGCTTGGAAGGCCGCAACAGCAGTGCCAGGAGGGTCGCCCGCAGCGCCGCCGAGAGTATTGGTGCTCGAGGCGCCAAATCCTGTGCCAGAGCCGAATCCAGAGCCGAAGCCCGTCGTCGCCGGGGTGGTGGTGGTGTTGCTGCCTCCGCCGAAGAGCGATCCGCCGGTGTTGGATGTAGTGCCAAAGCCAGTCTTGTTGGCAGTGTTACCTCCAAACATACCACCTCCCGTGTTGCTACCGAACGCTGATGTGGTGTTGTTTGTGTTGCTTCCAAAGCCTCCAAACCCTGTGCCAGTGCTGGTGTTGTTGGTGGTTGAGGAGCCGAAGAGGCCACCTCCTGTGTTGGTAGAGGTAGAACCGAATGCAGGTTTAGCTCCAAAGCCGCCAGCAGTATTTGTTGATCCAAAGCCGCCTAAGATACTGTTAGTATGTCGATGTCGGTAGAGAGCTTCGCGCACTGGATTCGTCTCTCAATGGTAGATGACAGCGATGCGATGAAGTAAAATTTGCGTACCGGTTGTTGAGCCAAAGCCTCCTGTGGTGTTGTTATTATTATTATTATTTCCGGCTCCAAAAAGGCCACCAGAAGTGTTGTTGTTTTGGCCAAAGCCGCCGAAGCCGCCGCCGAAAGACATGATGGTCGCCGATGATGAAGTTGTTAAGGAGTGGATGTCAGTCTGCGCTCCTGCGATTTTTCAGGGCGAGCACGCGTATGAGCGTGCATGTGGAGAAGAGAAGTAAGTTGATTGAGCTAGGGTGAGGTACCTCAGTGGCTTTAGTAGTAGCTTAAGGTCTGTCGCACTTGCTCCTTAGGCCCCAGTGCGTTGCTGCCTCAGACAAGAATTTTGTAGCTTGATTGGTTCTTTAGCTTGAACAGCCAATTAGAGGCTGCGCCAGAGCTACCTACTGCTTGAGTCACTGATGCCTGCGGTAGGCCTAGAGTCTACCTGTTTCAAAGGTACCAAGGCAGACTCGACGTCAGCCACAACCGCGCTTGGTTGGCCAGCTCTTCACGCGCCTGGGAGCCTAAGAAAACAAATGACATCTTGACTTGGTAATTTGCTTCACTGCCTTGATCATTCCTGATATTGAACAGCTGATCTGTGATATTCAGGCGGCTGCTTTCTAATCAATTGTTTACAAATACTTCCTCAAGCTTAACTGTTGATAACCTCCTCCGTACACTTGACAGTTTCCCCCCAGTTAAGTTCTAAGGCTTTGATCACGATCTTAAAGATATTATCCAATAGCTGTTCCCTTGTTCTACGTGTGAAAACCACAATGGCTATAAGTTTGGACCCACCCTCAGGGAGCAAGAAAATACTGGACCTTGATATAGGGTGTTAAAATAATCTCAGTAAATAGTCATCTAAGCTTAGGCTAGATTTACCTAAGTATTTTCATCACTTGCGGTTAAGCTCTCGAGTTTTGTTTCTTCTCCTAGCCCACCCACCTAAGGTAAGCCATCTCCAGCAATGACAATGAAGCTCCCCAACCAGACCAGAATATCTTGAGCCCGGAGATGAAAGACACAATACAGATCTATTAGCGCTTAGACATGGAAGGTTCACATATGACAAAGGACTTCAATTCTAAACTAATATAAATCTAATTGTTGTATTGAGACCCTGACCATAACCCATGTAGCCATTGCCAATTTCCTGCAACAAGCTGGAGGTGCACTGATTTTTTCTACCACCGCGTCAATGGTCGCGTCACACAACCTACCTCTAAGCATCCATCTCTTTCAGCTCTTTCAACAAACAACAAAACCTTGCGCCACGCTCCTCCAACATCTTCGCCCTGTCGCATCAGGTGCCTTTGCTATTGTCAACCTCTGCGATCATAACTATACTCACATTTCGTTATTTTACCCGTTGTTTGGCGACCATTGCATCCACCGCCTTGCTTGCTCGTGCCGGCCGCTCTCTTCCAGCCACCTTGAGAAATCAAAACAATGAATTCCCATGCAACGCCACGCACTGCCTTTCAAGGGCGCTCGTTAGGTGGCTCGGGACTTCCTCCGCAGTCGAGGCAGCCAGTTGCTCCTCAAGTGTCCTCAAATGAGGACTATAGCACGATTCCGGAGGAGGACCGCGAACATATTGATGAAGTTGTAGGTGAGCCTGAGCCGCCTTGAGAAATTCCCAGCTTACAGTTACTTCTGCCAGTTTGATTTGATGGACATGAAAAAGAAGGGATGGCTCAACAGTTACGAATTCAGACACTCGCTAGCAGCGCTAGGCTTTGATATGTCCAAGCCTGATTACTTCAGAGAGCTACAGTCGTACGGCTCTGTTCCTCCCGAATGGCAAGATCCTCACAACTGTCCTGTCAACCGCCTCTACGTTTACCTCGACCAATTCCGATTATGCGCTGCCAAGTTACTAGCCAACCGCGACCCCAGACAAGAAGCGACAAAAGTGTTCAACATGTTTGATTACGATGGAGATGGTGTTATTTCCTTTGAGGACATGCGACGGCTAGCTTCCGATATCAAGGAAGAGAGGACCATGACAGACGAGGAAATCCAGAGCATGATTGAGCATCTGGATCACGAGGGCAAAGGCGGTGTAAACTTGGAAGAATTCATACAGATGATGGAGGAGGCTGGTTAAGGCCGACCACAGAAGTTCAAAGAATGGCACAATACCAACCTTGCCAGAACATGACAGTAAAAAAAAGTCGGGTGCAAGTGGCATCGCTCGGGGTTCGCATATTATCCACGCCTGTCGCGCATCGAGGTCGATATGTTGGTTTGCAACAGTCAATCTCCATCTTGAGCCGATAAGGTGTTTGTTGCAACAGAGCGAGGCACATGGCTGTCTCAGAATCCTCGCAAGCACAGAATTGTCCCGATTACACGAGGCTTGGCCAGCCGAGTCAAGCCACACTGTCAAACAAAGAATGATTAAGAAAGCCACCTTTCAAGCGGTTTGGGTATGTTAGTTAGCTGCTGGGCGCATTAAGCATTGAAAGAGAAAACGGAAATGGCGTAATATGGCTACAGCGGAGTCAATGGGTAGATTTCAATAACATCTAAGAATTGTTTTGTTTTTTCTCGAATGCGCCAGGTGCGCTGTCTAAAATCCCAGAATCCATCACAAAAGCTTTCCCATTCTCCCATCACAACTAAGCCACCCAAATATCAGACTCAACGATGGTCCAATAACATAATAATGTACCGAGAACAGGGGAATACTATCCTTCGCCTGCGCAAAAAACGGGAATCGGGTTCAAGCCGGGATATGAACATGAACGTACAACAAAGAAAAGTCAGGGGTAATCAATCAAACCATCACACAACTAGCTGGTCACCGATATAAGGGGGTAAATTTCGATTTAGGAACTCAACTTAGAACTGGATCAAGTCGTGGTTCTGCTGTTGTTGCTGTGGTGCCTGCTGATGGGCGAAGGGATTGTTCGTCTGTCCATTCATGCCAGCGGGTCCAGTCGCAGCAGGCATCTGAGCACCATAGTTGACTGTGGGCATACCCGTGAACTGCTGTCGAAGGAAGGGATTGTTGCCAGTAGCCTCAGCGTTGATGCGGGCAACTCCTGCACCGGCACTGTTGACGAATGTGCCAGGGGCTGTGTGCTGGGCGGGAATGCGAAGGTTGCCTGTGTTACCAAAGGTGTCCATGCCGTCACCGCTCGCAAGCAGAGTGTTGAGTCGTGTCTCGTGCTCATTCATCTCCTTTTGAGGAGCGGCGAATGATGGTTGCGACTGAGGGAAACTATTTTGTGACTGCAAGGGGAAGCTGTTCTGCTGCTGGAGCTGGGGTTGAGTCTGAGGTTGGTTGCCAAAGGAGTTGAGGCTCTTCTGTTCAGGAAGCGCACCGAGAGACGAAATTGGGTTTGGTCGGGCGGATTGAGGACGGCTGAACTGGGCGAAAGGGTTGTTGGAACCAGTGGGAGTTGGTTGCAATTGCTGCTGGTTGTTGTTGGTTGCCCAGGGGTTGTTGCTACCAGGCTGGAGAGTAGGTTCAGGAGAAGCAGGTGATGAGAACGACTGCTGCTGGGGCTGCTGCTGCTGTTGCAGGTAGGGATTGAAGCCTGTGGGCTGAGGTTGAAAACCTTGCTGGTTTTGCTGCTGTTGCTGACCATAGGGATCGAAGCCCATGCCTGTCTGCTGGCCATTGAAACCAGTGCTGTAGTTTGGCTGGAAGCCAGTGGGTTGGGTCTGCTGGAATCCAGTATACGCGTTGTTCATGTAGCCAGTAGGCTGGGGTTGGTTCTGCTCAATAGGGTTGGCAAAGAAGTCCACAGGGTTTCCTTGCTGGTATCCTTGGTTGAAGCCAGTGTACTGTGGCTGGCTGGTTTGCTGCTGAGGAGTAGGATCGTCGTCGAAAAGAGAGGCAGCGTTGCTGTTCTCGAGTTCCCTGCGCCTTCGTTCTTCCTCTTCCTCGCTAAGCTTGATTGCTTTCGCCAAATCGTCATCGTCATCTGGTCCGTTCTGTCGGCTTTCGCGCTTCTTCCTGTCTTCCTCCTCCTGGTACTTGCTTGCCTCCAGAGCTAGACGGTACTCAGCGTCTTCCTCTTCGTTCATCTGTCGTCTCGGCTGCTGTCGTCGGGTTCCATGGTTCACAGGCTCAGCATGTTGGGGAGCAAACTCCTCAAGGCCAGTGACGCGCGACTTCCAGGATCTTCGGTCGCTTCGCTCGGCTCGCAGCCTCTCTTCATCTAGAATGAGTGAAGTTAACTCCTTGGCAGCAACTCGGACTAGATGGGTGTTAGTGGCAGCCTTCAACGGCACATATACAAACACTGACCGTTTTGCCCGACATCGCGGCCATCTTCGTCAACATATTGGAACTCTCGCAGAGTCTTGATGATATAAATACTCTGTCGAGCCCATGTAACGACAAGTTCTGAGCCCTCGTGAAGACAATAATCCAGAACCTTGAGGGCTTTGAGTACGTGACGCCAATTCTTTCCCTTGTCGTTGAGACGCTTATCGATCATATCCATAATTTCGTAGAACTCGGTGGATCTAATCGCGTCATGCCAAGTCAGTACTTCTCATCGTACACAAGGTAGTTGAGCAATGCGCAGGGTGTTACATACGTGTTGTATGTCATTTGAGCAATCTCGCTCATTTGAGTGCCAGTCGGGCCCCATGGGTCATTACTGGTAGCTACATGTCACTGTCAGCGGCGATGTTCCAGCGACGGAATTGAGAACGCAGGGAGTTGTAACCTTCTCGGACCTTGACCTGGGCGCTAGAGTAACCCTTGGTCACATTTTTGACACTTCGCATTACCTTGGACATGATGGGCGGTTTGTGATGTTGACTGTATAATTTCTTTGGTGAATCGGATGCGTTGTGAGCGCCAATGGGTCGACCGAGGTATGATCTCCCGATGTGATTCGATGAAGCTCGGAAAAAGGATTGGCCTGATCAGACTTTACAAGCGACAACCTCTGCGACACAAATCCGACACGCGCCCAGTGAGACGGAGTCCACGGAAGTAGTGCAGGGAGGGGGGTTTTGAGGGGATTGAGCAAGCTCCTAGGATCACGAGATATCCGCTCCGGTATCCGTAATTGCGTATACGGCCTTTGCGACAAGTCCCAGCCAAAAGAACAAGAATCAGTCAGTCGCCGTTTGTCTGAGATTTGGCGATCAAGAGGAGGAGGATCGTCTGTGGAGGGTGGTTGGAGGACGAGACAGAATCGTGGAGTGATTAGGTTAGGTCTGGATTTCAAGAGGTCGGGGAGACCGATCGGACACGACGTTATAAGATGAGGAGCGAGTGGGAGGAGGGAGGCGAAGTGACAAAGTTTGGAGGCGGCGAATTCAAAATTGAGGAGAGTTCTGATTCTGCCTTTTAGGAGTAGAGCACAGTAAGGTAAATAGCAATTAGAGGGACAAAATTGCACTGCTCTTCGCGCGACTCGCAGAGCTGTAGAGGGAAAAAAGAGTGAGTGCAGGACAAGATGATGAATGAATTGGCGCTCTCTGTCATGCGGGATTGGGAGCGGCGAGCATGGAACCAAGGCCTAACTACTAAGACGGGCATGGCATGGCACATTGTGGCGCTGCAGGCTGATTACGTATCCATTTTCACTTGCCAGCTCAGATGAGCATATACAAGCTGTGCCAAGATTTGCGGGGTTTCTTGGGGTTTGCGTGTGCGTATCTGAGTTGATGGTGTTGTAACTTTGCGTGTGTACGCTTTGGAGCTTCTTTGTATGCCACTTTGAGGTAATATCCCCCAATTTTGTTCTTCTGTTGAGGACTCTCCAACACTTCAAGCACCTTCGTGAACTGTGGCTGAAATACGGCTTACACAGGGTGTCAGGGCGTCTTTTACACCCGCTGGCCCCAATAGGAACAACATACGTCACGTTCCCGAAGGACCCTAGCCGCAGTTGGTGTGTAACAGAAGATCCCATCATAATGCTTATATAACTCAGGTAAAAAGAAACATAAAACGGCAACACAATAAATATCAAATACGTTTTTAAAACAGTACGGAATCTTCCTAATTCGGTTCAAGTCTACACCTGACCGGCGCATTATTGTCTCATCTCCAGGCCGCATCAATTCAAGTTGTGGTGTTGAATTCTTACTTCCTTACCCTGGAGGAGTTGTTATCATGTATTATGGTAATAGAGGCACGCAGTATTGTAAGAGGATGCTGCAGCTTTTCCAATGTATATAATTGTGTCATGACATGCCTGTTCTGCTTGTGACATCCAATGACTTGATGAGAGGTTATGGGAGGTTATAATCACTTTCGCATAGACGACACATTGAACAGAGCTTGAGTCGAGTCAGTTGATATCAAGAATCCTACAAGTTCAATAATTCTTTCCAAAGGACATACTGGGTGAAAGGTACGGACGTTTGTCTAGCGTTGCAATTTTGCAAAATGTATCGAATTAGCATCAGTGAGCTTCGGTCAAGTATATCAGTTGCTGCAATGAAGCGTGCGGTCTTGGGGTATCTGATTTCGTCGTGAGCGTCCCTTTTTCGTCTGTTGCGTATAGCTTTGGCTTGGCTTTCGTCTCTTCGAATTTGCCGACTTACACGGAGGATCACAAGTTAGCCCCCTTTCAACTCCACCTCTATCATCTGAAGGGCACCACAACACCTCTGCCTCTCTCTACCCCAAAACTACCTCTCACTTCTCTTATCCTCTCCATTCCCTATTGCATTTCTTCCTTCCTTTCTTTCTTGAACTCCATAGAATAACTTCAAACATCTCCTTCTCTTCTTCATCCACAACTTCAACTTCTCCCTTCTGCCACGCCGTAACTTCGACGGTGCACTTCAACATCTCAAACCTCCCTCTTCTAACCTCTCCCAAGACTCTCAATCTTCTCTGAAGTCTTCCGTGATTCATCCTCTCTTGCAGTATTGTCTATAAAAGGCTTCTCTTCCTCCTTCAATCCTTATCGCCATCTCTTCCTCCTTCTTCACATCCTTCAGTTCCCTCCTTTACCCATATCGATACGATCTCCCCTCTTACTCTATCCTGCAGTCCATCCCCATCAACATGTCAGACGGGAGCTCGAGTGGCTCCGATGTGGAGTTTATTGACCTCACAGAGAACGATGATTCTCATCCAGACATTGATGGGCATCATGATGATGCACCTGAACAAGAGGAGATCTCCCTTGGACTAACTCCCCATGGGGAGACGATCTCGCATATCCTCTACCGGCCTGGTGACCCTATGGACGTCGACGACGAAGAGACAAACAGTGACGACGGCCAACAAACTCCTGAGACCGAGGGAAGCCTCTTCTTGAGTGACGACGACGATGACGGTGAAATCAGCAATGGTAATATTGATGGTGGTGGACACAGAGGACCCCCATCCCCGCCATCACCCGATGACCCAGGTAGCGAATCTGACGGGTCAGAAGATACCGACAATCATCATGGCAATGATGGCGACGATGAGGATGACGACGACGACGACGACGTCGACAATCAAAGTCAGGCAAACCACGATAACCAAGGGGCTCCTACCGGAGGAAGTCCTGGTGGCGGTGATTCTGGCGATGACAGTTCAGACGATGAAGCAGATCCAAATGACCAAGATGTCGACAATGATCCCATGAATCGTGACGATGAAGAAGGCAACGTGGAGCACGGACATAAAAACCCGGACGCTGATTTACCTCAGGTCCTAGAAGAAGAAAGTATCGAATGGCCAGAATGGAATGGCGACTGTCTCGACACATGCCATCCCCTTTGGGATAGAGTTGCTCGGGAATTTGCAGTTTATCGAAACCGATTCCTCAAAAAGAGAGAAGAGTTGAGAGAATGCAAGAGGGGCAACAAGAAACGGGTCACTGATCGCAATCGTGAAATCAGGGGCCTGGAAGAGCTGGTGAACATAATGAAAGAAGCAGTAAGAGAGTTCTATGCTGCCAATGAAGTAAACATTCAGCAGAATATAAGACTTGTTTCGGAGAACGAGGAACTCCGACGTCTTGTGCCCCCAGTAGAATTGGTCGATTTCCCCGACCCTATTCAGCTGAACAATGAGGATATGGAGGCATCTCTGCCCGTGGAGAAGCTGGAGAGACTGCCGCCGGATGTCCAAAGGTATTTTCGTTTGTGGCGAGGCGCACCAGCGAAGGCCCGAAAGACAGAACGTGTATGTACTTATCATTATCAGGAGGCTTTACCCTTCAGAATTGCTAACAATCAATAGTTATGGCCATCTGCTTACACGTATTGGATCACTCATGGTCGTCATCGTGACTATGAGAATTGGGGACAGATTCACAAGCTCGCATGCCAGGAAGAGAATATGCCTTCAGTTTTCGGCAAGTCCACGCCACTCAGGACACACCCTTACCTCACTCTGTGTGCACCGCCCCCTCAAGAGGAAGAGAGGGTTATCACAGGAGAGGGTGAAGTTTGTACTCCTGAGCCATATTGCCGACGCGAATGCGGACAAACCCAAGAAGATACCGGCCCGTTCAACTTCGACATTCTTCCAACCCAAGATCGACAGAAGATAATCACCAAAATCCTTCGGCATGCTCTTATTTTTGATGGGGATATCATTCACGCTATCTCTCGTTTGGACCCATACTTCGAGCCAGCCTCCCCTAACCGGAACTGCAACGGTAAAATATCGTTATTGCATCGCTTCCACATTGGGCGACAGAGAGTTTCTCTCACATTTGGAACAATTCATCCTCAGAAACTCCTTGCCCCTCTTCTGGTATGCAAGGAGTGGAACATGATAGGTGGGAGCCTGTTCTATGGAGCAAACACATTCGCTTTCTCTTCTATCGGCGAGTAGGGTCGCTTTGCGAACAGAATCGGATGCAAACTCCAACATTTGCAGTATATCGAGCTGTTATGGATGGGCTCACAGAAGCTCACGTACATGATCGACCAAAAGGGCAAGTACGTATCTCGACGAACTCATGATCTCGCCTATCTGCCCGAGGCCTGTCGACTGAAGACAGTTGCTATTCATCTGCCCGAGTCCTCCAGGCAGTATATGCGACGTAAGCATGAGCCGCCTCAGATCGTTCGGTTCTTGGCACAAAAGACGAGAAACCAGCCTAACTTCCGCCGCTTCCGCGCGTTGCGTACGTTACAGGGTGTTGATTATCTATACTGCCTTCGTGGAGTTCGGGAAATGACCTTCTTCGACTATGACGAATCGCGACGACAGCCCCCGAAAATGCCAGTTCGTGACTGGACCTTTGTCCGTGATATCAATGAGTCTGTACGCAGGGAAAAGTCTGCAAATGATGAACACTTCTCCCAGCTCCGGTACCTAGCTCCATTGTTGATCCAACCTTCCGTCGAACTCGCTAGGCAGCTTGAGGAAATCGTCAACCCAGCGCCTCAGCGAATGGGTCTCTTGTCACCACCTCCTGACATGTACCCCCAGCTGCAGGCCGCCTTGGATCACACTGATAGCTCTGAGAATGAATCCGATGGCGATGCCAGCGACGGAGATTGTGATGAAGAGATGGGGGGAGACACTGACGACGATGGCAGTGACGGTGATGACGATGATGGCGGCGCAGACGCGTACTTCAATTATCAACATCTTGCTACGGGTCGTCACAGTCGTGAGCGAGACGAGAGCCCGGCCGATCTCGATGAGCTGGCAGCGGGACTGTCCGATGTATTATCTGATGAACAGTCTGATTCCGACTCTGAACAAGAGCAGAAGAAAGAGGTATGGTCAGATAATGGGCAAACCATCGACTTAATGAGCGACAATGAGGACGATGACGGGTCCCAGTATGGAAGAGACCGGTCTATCTCTCTGTTCGTTCGGAGCCCCCCACGGGAACATCGACCTGAGTTTACCACCAAGGTTGAAACACCGTCTCCTCCCAGGGCAACCCCTCCAGTTCTAGCTGACCAGGCTGAAATAACGCCGGCGAGGGAGATCAGCGCTGACAGTAGCTTGTTTGTGAGCCCTACCCCCTATGAGGCTCTGAACCCTCAAGCGGGAGATCGTCAATCGCCAATTGACCTCACTGGACCTATGGAGATGCCGTTATCTTCTTCTGCCCCGTCCTCACGCCCGAGCTCGAGCCCGAGCTCGAGCTCTAGCAGCTGTTCTTCAGGTTTCAAGCGAGAATGGAGTTTTATCAGCGTGGATGATGATGACGAGAATGATGGTGATGATGAGGACGAAGGCTTCCGAGTCTTGGGAAGTGTTCCCAAGCGGCCACGCCGTCCTGACGGTGATGGTGACGATGAAGGTGCTGAAATGATGGACCTGGAGGAGGAGTCCCTGGAGGAGCAGCCTCAAGAGGAGTTTGTCATGGCTTAAATTTTGCTATTTGCGGGCTAAAGGAGGCACAGAATCTCGGGAATCATTTGCTTTTGAAATGGGAGAGGTCATTGGAACTGAGATAAGGTTACCATGATATGTTTTGGCAGCGGAGTTAATAAGGTCAAGGTCTGGGCGAGGGGAGGAGACATCTTCGGAAATCGAGACGCAAAATAGGTACCCAGATTGACACTATGCGTACCTCATATTGAGAGGATAGTTTTCCCTCACAGATAATTGCTAATAAATACCCCAAATTTGCCCCAAAACATGGCTTGCAATGTCTGTCTATACGTATAACCATGCGCGACCAATTTCTACGGGGCAAGGATGCGAATATCATAACTTGAATTGATGCATGTCGTCCGCAACTTATCTAACCGCTCCGTGAAGCGGCTTGGTATCTCTTTTTAGTGTTCTTTTAATCCCATGCTCATTTGATGACTTAGTTCTTGAGCTCAGCAGTGGCAGGGTAGTGCCAGCTGCGGAAGGTATCCATAACAGTTGTGAATACCACCAGGAGGATACCACCTCCGGGACCCAAACGGAGAACCTGGATGCTTGTTAGTTGACCGCCCTCCCACTTCCGGGATAACTACTCACCTTAGGCAAGAAACCCTTGTAGAGAGCGCCGAAACCCTCCTCCTTGAAAACGGTTCCTACGGCCGGGAAGGCCCAGTTGTACTTGGGAACCTGACCAGGGACCTTGGGGGTGTTCTGAATCCGACTCTTGACAACATCCAGGGGAGTGTTGAGAACAGTTCCGATGGTACCACCAATGGCACCAGAGATGAGATCGTTGGTGACCTGAGCCCTCTTGCTCTCAGCCTTAGGGAGAAGTTGTCGGACCTGGAAAATGCAGCCGAAGTAACCAGCGTTCCAGAGGATGTGACGCCACATAGTACTCTCAAGACCCTGGTAAAGAGTAAGAGGACCCTCGTTCTTGACAGTCTTGACGACACAATCGACCATGCCGTTGTACTTTCCAGCGGAAGCCTTGTCCTGAAGACGAATCTTGACGAGCTCGAAGGGAACGACGACGAAAGCCTCGGTAGCACCAGCAGAGGCACCGGTGAGGATGGAGAGCTGCTGGTTCATCTTATCGACGCCAAACATCTTTCGGTAAACCTTGCCCCATTCATCGTTGGCAGCGAACTTGGTAGCACGCTTGGGAGCCTCCATGAGGATGGGAGCGGAAATACCGCGGTAGAGTCGTGAGAAACTGGCGCATGTCGTTAGTTTTGGGCGCATCAGAGTCGCGAGCGCAGATACCATACCCCTCCTGCTTTATGATCTTGCGGAAACAGTCAAGCATGCCATTGTACTCAGCGGTAGCACCGGAACCAGTTTGCAATTGGCTGGTCATCAAGTCAGCAACTGGGCTATTATTTCGAAATGCGTACGCAAGGTTCGTCATACACTCGGGTCTTGACAACGTCAAGAGGGTACCTGGGACTGGGTTAGCTAAAATGTCTCGAGCACGCGACAGATGCTGTCATACATCACCAGAATCTACAATTGGTACAAAATTAGCAATGGCCCTCAAACGAGTCGAACTGGAACGAGCATACCTCCGAGACACCAGCAATGGCGCCTAAAATACGAATCGTTAGCCACTGGATCTGGGGAATGGTATAGTTGAACGAGGTGAACTGGCGTACCTGCGGCGAACTGGTAGACGAAGGGGAGGGGCTTGTCGTTAGGGTTGGACATTGTGACGACTGTACAGGCGACTAAACAAAGATGAGGGAAGACCAGAAGAACAAAAAAAGAGGTTGAGCGGAGAGTTGTCGCAAGTTGACAAGAAAGAGAGAAAGCTAAGCTGAGGTAGTCAACGGAAGGACGAGCGAAGACCGGGCCGGGGAGTGGAGGGAATTTTTTTGGTCGTGCGTCTCTGTAGGACGGGTATGGATCTTATCGCGCTACCTAGGTATGGTTAAGTGATAAGATTCCGTAACCTCACCTAATAACCTCCACTGTGACAGACGGCGAGAATTAGGTCGATGCCGAATGGACGGAACCTTTTGTTTTAAACAAGCGCCTTGTATCCGTGGGATTGTGGAGATCATAGCAAGAGACAGCGAGATGAGACCCGGGGGAGGGGTCCATTGATGCTCGGTGAGACGGCAAGCAACCGATCCATGAGGCCCTAACGTCTCCGATTCTTCTCCGACGGTGCGATGCGATGCTCTTTTTTGTGATTGCTGTTTTAGGCAAGTCTGTGTTATATATTCTTGGCAGTTTATACAATGTCTTGCGAACAGTTTCAAGAATACTCACACCTACAATAATCCCAGACCATTACGAGTCCCCTACCTATGTTTTGAATATAGTCAAGCTATTGATAATGACATATCCGGATGCCCGATGTCTGCCGCTAGCCCTGAAGCCCGTACCCGACTATTTAACTTTGAGCGGCTTGTACCTGAACATGAAAGGGTTCCATTGGAATCGGCAACGGTATTGAGGACCCCTTGTCCTAACTACAGACTCTATGATCAAGAGTCCGCAATACCTAATGTAGACATAGCTCCATGGGAGCCAGGGTCCTAATTACTGAAGCTTCATACATTTACTAGAGAACACTGACAGAAGCTTTAACGAAGGCTGGCTAGGGGAGGAAAGAAAACTCAGGACCTTGACCCTAAGTGATGAGAATATTTGGGTAAATTTAGCCTGAGCTTAGGGACTTACTACGTATTGCTAAGTTTATTTTGATGCCCTACATTAAGGTTCAATGCTTTCTTGCCCTCTGGGGGTTGGATGAAGCTTTTTTATAAACAGCAGTGCTTGTGATGCGGGTATCTCATGAACGTGAGGCATGGCCTTGTGAGTTACCTCGTACATATGTCAATCATATCACTATAAACCAGATGATGGATCTAAATCCAATAAGGAAAGTATTCGGAGACGTTGACAGCTCAAAATACGAGAAGTCTCGCGGAAGCTTGCCAATCATGCTTAGGTACCTAGCAGGTATAGTTGGAGGATATACGGATACTTCAGGGACCCAACTTGAAATACTCCAAACCAGACCCGAATGCCATCGAGTGATTCCAGGAGAATACTCAAATACATATGCTAATCCACGGACCTTGACCCCTCCCCCCGCGATGTTGATCCCCCGTGCACGGGCGACCGTCAGTCTCCATCCCGTCGGCCGAGTGGACCGCCAAATTGGCCCGTCCGTGATGAATAGACAGGAAGTTGCCTTGATCTTGAGTGTTGATCTTGAGTGATAAAAAGATCTAGGATAATCTATCAACTGGCCTGAAGAAACACTAGGCTTTGATCAACCTTAAGAAATGTTGGAGAACCCCAACAAACAGATATTCATTCTGCAGTCATCGACGGGGTAAAAGAATATGCAAGACATTGAGATCCTGCCGTGTTACCAAGTGTCTATTCTTCCAAGTATACCTAGTTCCTAGTCCTTCCAGCTTTCAACAGGGAGGGAGAGCTCATCCACGTTCACGGGTAAGCCAAAGCTTCACGAGCCCGGTCTTGTAAAGAGTACATCCTCTGAGCAATATAAGAGCATTCCACCGGATACGAATCTCTTTCATGATGCCTTGACAATGACACAGGAATCAGACACTTGCCCGAATCTAGCCATCCACAAATCTCGAAAGCGACAAATGAGAAACTCCAATTGGAAGCATGTGGTGAAGCACAAGACCAAGTTGCAGAGCTTCAGAGTTGCACACCTTGGAAAAGAGATCCGTTATTGGTTCAACCTCAGTCCGCAATTCATGGAGGGGAGTTTCTGGATGGCGGGGTAGGTTCTCCATCGATGGATACAACGGCGACAGAAAAGAGGGAATACATTTGTGATTTTTATATAAGATATCATCACAAAATGGTATTACAATAGTATGAGATGAGGCACATAATAGGAATATTGGTAAGACATAACACTTTGAGATATGGGATCATCTTTCTAATTGACAATGGATGCTTAGAACTTATAAGAATCTGATACTAGTGGAGGCTTTCGCTATTACTGGGTCTCTTTTGACGCCCCGTCTCCCCTAGCTGCTAACCAGGGTTCCATGCGATTGGGGCACGTTTTTGGGGCACCATGCTGAATGCACTTGCTGACGCGCACAATTGGCTGGCCCCTCGGTATCGAATCTCAAGGTCATTAATGACATCGCCTCTTCACCATCCCGATCTGACAAATCCCATTCCTTTCGTCTTCTGAATAAAGAAAAGTATTCCTGCATCTGTTACACTACAGAAGACACCCTCAACAAACCCCCCCCCATCCGAAGACCCAAAACGACCAGCGCCCCTCTACGCTCTCCCTATTAATCGATCGAACACGCGCTCGGTGGCAACCGATAGCGATCACAAGCAACCGTCGCAATCTTTGCGCCAGCAACCTCAACTTCTGCGCAACTTCACCTGGGCTTGTCACCATCCCAAGCTCTCCTGCGCTTCAAATCGCACCTTTAAACAGGCCGTGACCCAACGAGCGTCACAGCGAGGTGCCTTTCGCGCCCAGGAGAGTTCTGTCGCCCCCTGCCCATGAGTCACTTATTGTGGAAATCCTACTGGGAAAACGATGTCGACCGGTTTCGGCGTCTGCTGGCCCCAACCAGCTACAATGCCCAGTCGCTATCGAAGAGCCCTGCAATAGGAGGATCTGGTGCACTCTTCGGTGGAAGCCCTGGTCTTCCAGGGACTTCCCCACGACCGGCGAATAAGCAACGACGAGTTTCCGGCCATCCGCAGACACCTGGAAAATCGAAGGACGGCAATACACATCTTGGACGAACCGAAGTCAACAGCCGCGACCATGCTGGATTGACAGTTCTACTTCGGGCTGCCTCATCGACCGACCCGAACGCCCACCAGTTTGTCCAGGCTCTCGTCGAACACCCTGCGATAGATCTCTACGTCCAAGACCCCGAGAGTGGCTGGAATGCCCTCCATCGATCCTTATACGCTGGAAATGTTTCGATTGCCCGACTGTTGTTGGAAAAGGAACGGGTGGACTTGACGAGCCATAATCTCAACGCCGTTAATAAAGTCGGACTCCTGATCAAGACGAAAGACCACGAGGGAAACAGTCCTTTTGACGTCTACAACTCGACGATCGCCGCGAGATCTCTGAAGGGCCTGGAAAATGGGAGCAATTCTGATAGTGACGCTGATAGCGTCGACAGTGGAGGTGATGGTTTACATTAGTAGGTGGTTTGAGAAACAGACGGAACTTTGGCTGATTCTTACTACAGTATGGGAAAAACCTCGCATGGATTGCGGAGCTCGATTGATGGTGATGAACTCTTTGTTTTTGGCAGCAACAAGAACGTTTCTCTTGGAGTAGGCGATGAGGACGATCGCCAGTATCCTGATCGCATTCATCTGTCCAGGCCCGAGCTACTCGTGCATCGATTGTACCACTCACACTTGGACGAGCAGGATGAGGAAGCCCCTTCTTTGTTGAAACTGGATGAGATTCCGACCCTGGTTCGAAACCGGCCGCTCGTTATCCAAGACGTCTCCATGTCCAAACTGCATAGTGCTATTCTGACAACCGACCCGGTCTCAAACCTGTATGTCTGTGGTGTTGGCCGTGGAGGCCGACTTGGATTGGGAGACGAAAACACACAATTCAGATTCGTACCTGTCGAAGGTCCATTCATTGACAAAAGGATTCACCAAGTGGCACTTGGGCAGAATCATACCATGGCCGTTGTCGATAATGGAGAACTCTGGACCTGGGGCCTAAATTCTGCTTCTCAGCTGGGATATGCTCTGCCTCCACCGATGAAGGCAGATGAAGAACCCATGAGCCTTACTCCTCGCCAGGTCTTTGGATCTCTCAAGAAAGAAGTCGTCCTAGGAGTTGCTGCGTCTGCAAACCACTCTGTTGCTCATACAGGAAACTCACTATTTACTTGGGGTCGTAATGTCGGACAACTGGCTCTAATGGACGCCGATTCGAGGTCACTTGATATTCAGCATACCCCCAGAAAAGTCGCTGCTTCTCTTCTCGCCGCCCCTATCGAGATGGTATCAGCCATTGACAAAGCCACTATTTGTCTGCTTTCCAACCATACTGTCTGGGTCTTCAGCCACTATGGGTATAATCTGGTCAAGTTCCCATTTCCGGATGTCTTCGCGAACAACATCTCCATGACACGCTATGAATCAGGCGGTCGAAGGGAGATTGACCATATCACAGCGGGTGGCGAGACAATAGCTGCTGTGACTGCCCGCGGTGATCTCTTTACATTTCATCTGAACGACAAGGGGGATCCAAGCCAGTCTGCTGCGTCAACTACGAATCCAGTCAAGATCAAGAATGCCCTAACGCAGCCACAATGCGTCTGGGACTCTCGCAAGGACGGAGTCGTATCTGTCGGAGTTGGGGAACATGGCTCGGTCATCATCTGCACAGAATCAGGAGCTGTGTGGAATCGTGTAAAGCGTACAAAGGGCAAGCTAACTGGATTTTCTGCATCAAGCGGCACGAAGCGCAAAGACTTCAAATTTCAGCGAGTGCCATACATCACCAACTGTGTTGCTGTCAGAAGCTCCATTTTTGGCGCCTTTGCGGCTATCAGAAAGGATAGCAAAGTCATGGCGGAAGAGATTGAGATCGAAGGGCAATCTCTTCGCGACGATATTGGTTCTCTACTCTGTCTAAATGGTTTTGAAGCCCCGCAACACCATCCCGAAGCAAAAGGCTCTCAGAAAACATG